AACTTTCAATTACAGGCCTACCTTAGGGCTATGCCTCATAGATCTATACTGTGTAAAGCAATTCCTTTCATCGCTAGATATAAAATATGGACTAACACGATCGGGTGACATTTAATTGCGAAGCATTCGTTTTGGCTTTGAGACTGTCAGATATTGTATTTGAGAAGGTTTATATGTATTCCTAAACAGTTATAGTTTTGCCATCATATCTGGAAAAATGCACACTAAATATGCAAACCAACTCCTGTTCTGAACAAAAAAGGTTTTAACTTACTACAAGATTCCCGTACGTAGAACGGGCAAACAGCTAGTAAAAAATAAGTATAAGTCCTACCCCCTCGAAATATCTATTTGAAGTTACTGTATGTTTGTTTTGTCTGTGTCAATTTAGTCAATCTAAAAAACTTTGAGCTTCGGCATAAGTTCAAATAAGCCACGTCGTGTTCACTCAGTTCAATACATCAATTAATTATTATCCAACATACTTACCATTTTTTAATCAAACTAGTAATTACTAGTAGTTCCGTTATTAATTCATTATACTAATGGGTTGGTCAACGTTTGACCATTCACCAACTAACTGTAACTATGGTAAAAGCTATTTTTTAAGAGAAGTAAAAAATGCCTATCAAATCTTTAAACAAATTCAATAAATTATAAATCACTTAAAATAAATGGGGGTTTTATAATTAGATTAAATTACGCCTTTAGTTATAAGTTTCTTTAAAATCTTCTTTGCAAACAATCTTGATTTTCACTAAACTTCACTTAAATCCTTGTCTTTTCTTTCGTTACTTTTCAACTTCATTTGTCATTTTATAAAAATGAACGGTAAAATTATTTATACTTATTATTTATTATCGTTTATGCTGTACTCTTTTATCTTTTATAGCCTATAATAAACTTTACCATAAATAAATGGTAGACTAAAAATATACTTTACATTGTGTGATGTGAAACTTAAGGTGTAAATAAAAAAGTAATTTTAAGAATTCACTGCGAATGGTCTGAAATGTTTCAATGTGGTGACTTAAACATTGGAAGTATTTAACAGTAAAATACACACCATTCTAGACACACAGGTTCCATACGTCCCAAACACAATTCTCGGCTCTCTCGTGACTTAAAAGAGATAAAAAATTAAAAAAATACCCTCGCCGCAGCTAACCTGCAGACTACGCGAATTTCCATTTGCTTGATTGGATTCACACTAAAATATCTCCTTAAAAATCTCTATTTATTCCTTTTTAGCGAATTAGGGAATAAGCTATTACCGTAGTACGCATAGTATGACCTGGACCCAGAACCGATTTACTTTTCGTTTTGAGGTCCCTAGAGGCCAAAAACACCATACGTTCAAATTCATCATATTCACATATATATACATGTATATAATGTGTATTTTAGTGAACCACTACTAACCTTCCAAAAGTCCCAATTTTGATTTCTATACATAGTTCTAACATAGATTAATCATACTCCCTTAGTTACATTCAGTTAACTATTTTACACTCATGATCACTAAAAGGGCTGCTTAACGTATATACTATATATCAATTACCAATAAAAATGTCGAAGTAATAAATTAAATATTTTCAAAAACGTGCATATTTTAGGACTTTTGACGTTTTATTTCCCCAGCCTAGAAAAACCTAACCTCCAGGTAATCATACTAATATTATAAATGTAAAAGTGTGTGTGTTAGTTTGTTTGTTTGTTTGTTTGAAGTTCAATCACACATTAACTACTGGTCGGATTGGGTTAAAATTTGGTATTATGATAGCTCGCATTCCCAAATAACATATATAGATATATTCTTATCTCAAAAATCCTTTCGGGCTCTGCCCTAGTGGCTCTAGAATTTCCTATGTTAACCTTATGAGTATTCATATTAAAGAATTTTTTTTTCATTTAAAGAATTAAAGAAGTTGGTTCTATGAATTCAATTGCATTAAAAAGTTATAAGGTGTAGCCTACCAACAGGGTGCAGCACTATTAATTAATACTTTACTTTAATACTTTTCAATGAAATGGCAACCATAGCCTACAAAGTAGGTATTTTAAGCCAAGTCTCTTAGCATTTATGACAACAGCTAATTTAAACCAAGCAAAAACACTTTACTTTTTTCTATTGTTTAGGTGCAGTGGTAGAACATTATGGCTATGGTAGATGTGCTACACTATAGTATACAATATATTATAGTAAACCAAATTTTCTTATAACGTACGTCTCCTCTCCCATTGCAATCGCGAAGCAAGAGTATGACTGTAATAAACATTTAATACTAATACGCCAAGTGATGTTTAATATGTCACGATATTTCAATCAGATCGAACACATAAGTCAGGTATGATCGCAAGTTCAGGTCGTATATCACAGCGTGAATCAACCGTTCCAATCAATCTGCAATCAATGGCCAGTAATTATCAAGGTAATACAGCGTGGTATGTTGATGATCTTGATTAATCAAGCCTAATGAGTTGGTTCAATGAAACATAAACTGAAATATGACATAATTATTTTGTAAAATAATTTTGTATCCGCATATTACGCGTAATACCATAACACATTTTTATACATTTCAGCTTTTCCCACACCCAACAACAATTAAAAATCAAAACTATAACCAAGTATGGTACGAAACAAAAAGTAGTGCCAACATAATTGTATAATCTTCGTCGAGGGTGTCCGTAGTTTAAAGTCTTCGTCGAGCTCACGTCAAACCAAGCAAGCTATAGTTCTAATCTGAGACTACCACTTCATGATCACATTGCCACACCTGTAGACAGTACGCAAAATAGCTCATTTACGCTCAGCTGATTTCACTGTTGTTATTTTTACACCAACTACAGCCGTGGATCAGGTACCTACTCAAATACAACCTAACATGTAAGCAAATGACATAACGCCTTAAAAATGCCAAACATAACCGAGATGACATTTTAAATACAGTTAAAAGGTTAATCTGTGTTTTGACAAGTTAATTATAGTGGTAGGGGAAATCTTGAGTTTAACGAGTACAAACCGTCATTGCCGCTATCGAAATGTTTATGTATGGCCGCACTCAAAATACACAATTATAGCTACGTACGGTATCGACTGTTCTTGCTGATTCCTATTCCTATTCCAATTAACACCATTCACGTCTTTCTACTGGTGATGAACTACCAGTTGACGACTGAGACATAGATAAAATATTTTTTATCTGTGACTGAGTCTATGAGACCACAGAAAGAAACCTTATCACAGATCCCGAGCTTGACGGGAGCGTCAATTTTCTTTCTCGGTATTTTTAAGCATTATACCCCCTCCGCAGCAAACCTGCCGACTAAGCGAATTTACATTTGTCTGAATTGATTTTTAATTAAATCTATTTAAAAAAAAAAACATTAGGTTTAATGAGTATTTAGGTTTGCTGCTACAAAGACACTAATAAAGTGTATTTTTTACTCAAATATTAATAGCTTAGTATAAAATAAATAAATTTTCCACGTTTAATGAAAATGTATGTATAAACAAGCAAACTACAACATTTTACAAGATTCTCTATAAGAATAACATGGGAATTTTTAATTTAAATTTTTTTTTAACTTTCTGCGTTTACCAATCGTACAAAAACTCTTTGATGTACTAAATTATTTGGTTTTTAAGCTGTTTAAAAAGGTCTAGATAAATTGGGAAATTTTGTGTTTTGAGGGTAAAAAATGAGAAAACTTACTAACTTCCTACATTTTGTTTGTAAGTAAGGACTGCTTGCTTAACTACTGATAGTCACCACTTATTACTAACTAGCTGTAACCCGCGGGCTTTGCCCCGTTTAACTTCTTAATTTTCAAGATTATCTCGTTCGCATGGCTCAATCACGTCCTGGTTGAAGTTTGTTCGCTACGCTCACTCACCTTTAGGTTGGAGCTCGTTCGCTACGCTCACTCACCTTTCGGTTGGAGCTCGTTCGCTGCGCTCACTTGCCTTCAGGTTAGCTCGTTCGCTACGCTAACTCGCCTCCAGGTTGAAGTTCGTTCGCTACGCTCACTCACCTTTTGGTTGAAAATTAGCTGTTGTCATAAATGTAAAAGAAATAATAGTGCTGCACCCTGTTGGTAATCCTTGTAACTTTAATGCTATTGAACATCATAGAACAGAACCAACTTGTTTAATTGAAACAGCTGTTAAGATTCAATAATTCCATTTCTCATAAGGTTAACATGGGAAACTCCAGAGCCACTGGGGCGGAGCCCGAAAGGATTTTTGAAATAAGAATATGCCTATATGTTAATCGGGAATGTGAGCTATCATCATGCCAAATTTCAGCCCAATCCGACCAGTATTTTTCGCGTTCACTTGTCACAAACATACATCCATACATCCATACATCCATACATCCAAACTTTCTCATTTATAATATTAGTAGGATTAGTGTTTTACTATATTGTTATTTATAGTTTATATTTTACCATAGACTAACCAACACAAGTAGACTTCTCATCCCATTGTAAATTTTGAAGCTCGTTTTTCATGTCTAGTTCATGTATGCCACACTGGGCGCTAGTGTCGACGAAATTTTGTTTCTATTATTTTAGGGTTAATTTCTAGATTTGTGCTTTACTGTTTGGTTAAATAACTAGGGGACAATTTATTGTTTATGATTGGATCGTATTATTTGGTTAAACGAGGTTTTAAATGACTGTATTAACGGGAAACAAATTGTAAACAAAACACGACCTCTAACATAAACCGTACAGAACTAACAATAAAATTGTCTTCAGCTGTTGCATTAGGATGAGAAATCTACTAAGAGAGTATGTTTTATCTATGATTTTACTTAAATTGTTTTTATATACTTTAACATTATTCTATGGTTGCGGTGGCTAACCAATAGACTAGTGCTGACAGGCTGTCTATCGTCTGCCTGCAGCCCTGCACGGTGCAAGCCATCTGCTGAATAAGAAGAAGAAGTCCAACTTCAACTTCCAGTGTCAGTGTCAGTGTTGTTTTCTTTGTTGTCAGTTGTCAGTGTGAATTGTGAAACTCAATGTCAGTGCCGAACCGAACAACCGATTTTATTTAGAAGTTAACCCGAAAGATTGAAATAAGTGCTTAATAGTTTGCTAACGTTAAGTTGTACCCTTTAAAACCTCCCGGTATTTAACTTGCAAGCTGTGCGTCAAATTATCTAAGTTTCCATTGAAAAAGGCATGCCATTGCCTCCACTGCAGCTACCACTAAGGATGTACCAAGTAAGAAAACCTAGCTCAATATTTAAAGAAATCGCTCATAAGCTGGGTTGAATTGTACCTTTGCATGTATTTGCAGTTGTTTTATGTCCCAAAATGTTTCATAATTGCCCATAATTTATCAAAACAACTGCTAAGGCATAATAACTTACTTTAAGACCCACGAATATTATCCTAGAACCATGTCTGTTTTAAGTATTCGTGCTTAGACCTAGGCCTAAATTTGAAATGGGTACAGTTTCTTAACCGGGCTACGCTAATATCGATTAATAATCGATATGTTTAAAATTAACTATAGGCTATCAATTATAAAATGAAACTGTCATAACCTAACCTAACTAGCCAAACTTGCTGATAATGAAAAATAGAATGAATGTTTACTGATCAAATTGATTGTTTCAATCAATATTAGGCCTAGCGTATCCCAGCTAAGAAACTGTACCCTTTGGAATAAAAACAACATAAAGTTCAAATAAGTTACGACTAGGCAAAACTTAAATTAGGCTACGGTAGGCCTACTCAATAAAAGACACATACAGGCAAAAACCAACCAGTTTCAACAAAGACCACCATTTAGAAACATTAATCACAAAACAAGTACGGTAGAGTACCTACCACTTGCAGTCGATCCCACAAGCGCACCTGATCCAAAAAATCTTAAATTCAAGTAACTTATTGCGATTACGTACATCTTATAGTGTACTGTATTGTATCCATTGTATGCATTGCAATCTCAAGTCATGTACATTAGTGGGAAAGTAATTTCATTTAACAGTTACAAAAATTAACCCCATAACTTACCTAGAACTTAAATATCTAGTCGTAAGTAGCGGTGCAATGATGCAACTGAGTGAATCAACCTAGTAACAATCTTGGTTTTGTGCTGAAATCAATATTTATTTTAATAACTTGCAGGTTAAAATGAACCTAGAGATGTAACAACTTATAAGGTTGTGTGGTTGGCCAATTATTCTTGGGTTTTTCTTGAACTGTTCTATAAGCTTACAACCTTTTTCTTCCTTTATTCTTCTTAAACAGTAGGGCCTAGACCTACTGGTGTTGTAACATACTGTAGCGTCTTTGATTTCTGATCTCCCAGATTTATATTGGCTCAACGGTTTCAAATGTCTTATTGATTCAGGGAAATGCTGTTGAACCGATGCAAGTTGATGCTCCTATGGAAGATAATGACAATACAGAGGAGGACCCATACTTGGTGGAAAACCCAACTTTGGTAAGCTAATGAAAAAATGAAATAAGTTATCAGCCTAAACATTACGCCTAATCTGAATCTAACTGACTTATTTTCAGTGTTCTGTTACATCACAACAAAGGTTTAAAAGTATTTTAACAGATAATTTTCACATTGGTAGCCCTAGATAAAGTCCTGCCTAAAAGTTTTGTAGATTAACAAAAATACTGGGTAGAAAGGTGTCAAAATTAACTCTTCGCTTGGAGAGGCATCTAGTGTTAGGTAAATATAGTCTAGTCAAAGCAAGATTCCCAACCTTTATTTGCTCACTTGGCCTTTAAATCCTGAATTTTTCTCAAGTCCCCATTCCCCACCCACCATATTAGGCTCTAATCTATTTTCAAATAAATATATTATTTATGATTGTTGTTTTCTGTTTTTAATATTTTTAAACACAAGCATTTAACTATTTAACTTAGTCTAGGTAACTTATTTGCTGATAATTTTGAATCAAGAGAAATTTGAATAATACTTAACTCTCTGAACCCCATGGAATTTACGTTAATTGAACTACCGGTACCCTAGCAATTTTTTTTTTTTTTTCTCCAACTTGTGAGCACCAATTTCAAGTATACTATAGCCTATAATAAGTTTTTGGTGGACACACATGCAGTTAGTAGGGCCTAGGGCCTATAGAATAGAAAGCGCAAAATGTCTGGTCAGAAGTGTTGGCTAATCTTGTTAACTTCCACCCCAACCACCATAATTAGGCCTAAATGACTAAAAAAGAATAACCAAAAACGTTTTTCTATGCTGAGGTCTATTGTAATAACTATGTTCTACCCAGGCTGAATCTCAAATCATATTAGGCGACCAACTATGTATAGGGACGTTAATCTATAGGCTATAAATATAAGCTTAGAAAAATCCATTTTGGTTTAGCATTAAAAGTACCGGTAGTTTAAGAATGGCTTGTATCAGTCTAAACCAAGCAAATATAAAACCGTGACATATCATTTCATACTTTTAACTTTAAATAGTTATTTTTTTTATTTTTTCCCAGGCCTAACCGTAACAAATCCACTGTTTAAGTTAATTATTGTCTGAACTTGCAGGATCTGGAGGCGTACACTAACAGCTATACAGGGTTGGCAAGATTGTACCGTCTGATGTACATTGCTGATCATTGTCCACCATTGAGGGTAGAAGCTCTGAAAATGGCCATCAACTACGTAATGCAGACGTACAACGTAAACCTTTACCAACAACTGCACAAGAAACTGCAGGAAGCTATACAGTAACAAAATTTATATTGCTTTATAACTTACATAGGCATATTTTTATTATTTAAAAAATCCCTGATTAGAATATCAAGCTTGGTTATTTCAGCACAACTTCCCTCACGAGTTTTTAAATTGAAATATTTGTCTATATATTTTAAAATTTTAGTAAGTCTATGTTGCATTTTAAGTCTTGTATGTATTCTGTTCACAAAATTAAGGTAGTTTTAACTGCTGAAGTCATCCCCCTCCTTTTGAAACCTCGCCTTTAAAACAACAGGTCAATAGCTGAGGTATGATTAAATGTCGGCTGCATACCTAAATTTTGGAGTAAACCACTATTGATGAGCTAATAAACTGCTCTAAAGATGGTTTTGTCTGTGTTTAGTAGACTTAATAGACCACATTGTCCCTGTTAAAAAAGAGACTTACCGGTAGGGCCTACCTCAAATTAACATTTCTAAATTGGTTATGTACAATACCTAGTAAAAAAGTATTTTTTACTAACATAGGTAATTATTAGATTTAGCGTTTCACGGCTATTTATCTAAGATAGAGAAGAAAAAGCCTCACTGACCACTGACTGTAGACCTTTGGGACTTGAAGGTTATCCTGTTAAAACTTTGAAAACATAACGAATAGGCCCTTTGCGTAGTTTGGATTTGGTAATTATTGGCTCCTTACTAAACAATTATTACTGACAAAAATCTCTACTTATGCAGCCCAGTAGGGCCTAGATGTTAGATTTTAATATTAAACACACAAAACTTTTGGGTTTGTTCGTTTGTTGTATTTTAAATGTTGTTATCAACAAGACCTCAAATAAAATATCGGTTGGCCTCTAATGAGTCATGTTCCGCCAACCAATAGGCATATTTACAATATATTAAGGTTAGTTAAAAGTTGGTAAATTTCTAAAATAAAACTACGGTATACTAATATAAAATAGTACTACTCACTGTTGATTTGTACATTTTAGTCATACATTTTTAGTCACTTTAAAACCTTTTCTTTATTCAGGGGGATGTCTTTGCCTGACGTAGCCGGAGGAGGGCTCCAAGACATCCCAACCCCAGATCTGGGGTGGATTGAGTCGAAAAACAAGAAAGGCGCGATGAAACTGGAGAAATTAGACACAGATTTGAAAAACTACAGAAGCAACTCTATCAAGGAGAGCATCCGGAGAGGAAATGACGATTTGGGAGATCACCACCTCGACTGTGGAGACCTCAGTAACGCCCTCAAGTGCTACTCTCGCGCAAGAGACTACTGTACGAGCGGCAGACATGTGGTGAACATGTGTCTCAACGTGATAAAGGTGAGCCGCTGACATGAGACTGATTGAATATAGAATTTATAAAGAAATTAAATTTTAGCAATAGTATTAAGCAATGAATTTTGTTAATTGTGAAAAACACTGATTGATCCGGATATTTTCTAATTAGTCTTAAAAATTGGATTGAGCAAACTCAGATTCTCTATTCCTAAAAACTTTTGAACCTGGTGATACCGGAAATAAACAATTCATCAATATCATCAGTTTCAACAGTTTTGAGAAATAGAAAATCAGCATTTTATCCATATTTCATTAATATGAAATCAATACTAGTTCAGTTCTAGAATCTCTTGCATTCTAGTTACTTTTATACTGTTGATTAATGGTGTATTTATTTGGTCAGGATTCTGAATCACATCCTATCATGATGGCAGGTGTAGACTACACACAGCATGGATGTGGTGTCCCTACATAGCTCTATTTTGTGAAGAGAGCTGCTGCTTGATTCTGCTGGTACCTGGCCTAAGATCCTTTACCTTCGTCAAAGTCACAAAGAATATGACTAAAAATATCATGCATATCTTTTTCGATTAAGCTCAACGTTTTGTTTTGGTCAACAATGCTTCTTCAAACAAACCATGTAAGCTTACTATGTTCTAGGTTAGTGTTTACCTTCAAAACTGGTCTCACGTCCTGAGCTACGTCAACAAAGCCGAATCCACACCAGATTTCATTGAGGGTGGGGTAAGTTTTTACCAAAAGTCTAAGTTTCTTTTTATCAAAGTAAAAGTTGACAATTTAAGTTTTTTAACTATAATACTCGATAGTAGTGCTCAGAGAGCATATTCTTTTTCAATCATGTAAATCACTAGATATTTACTAGGGCCTACAAGGATTCATGGAGTAGTTCTTGTATTTTTTTAGAAGTGATGGTTTAAGAAAATATTAGGTGATGATCAAATGGGCTCAATGCACTTAGAATTAAGTTTGTATCAGATGACGTAGAGAAATTGACTTCTGATTTTTATCATTTTAGTCATGTAAGTAATGCCTCTGAACCTGATTATGTTACGGTACCATTTTTTTTTTATTTACCATAAAACTCCCAAATATCCAAACTCTAATCACCCAGATCATCTTGAGCAATTTTTTTTTGTTGCAATTTTTAATTTTTCATTATATGTGGTAATGCATTAAAATTTTGTATGAGTGCCAATATTGTTTCTGTCATGTGGTGAGTCTATTGTGTAAAAACATCGAGTCTTTAACAGTCATCTGTCTAGTGCCACTGTCTACTGTCATTTAAATTTCCTTTATTCTTAAAAAATCAAATTAGGCAGATGGGTCGGGTCCCAATTGATTTGAATGGTAGGAGGTCTGCTGTATCTGATGAAGATGTGTGTTTTTGACACTTGAATCATCTTCTGAGATTTTAAAATTAAGGTTCTCATGTTCTGAAAAAATGACTGTGATTATTTTCCAGGCCAAGGAGAGTAACCAGGCTATCCTTACAAGGCTAAAGTGTGCGGCTGGGCTGGCTGAGCTAGCCACCAGCAAGTACAAGACAGCAGCCAAACACTTCCTACAAGCCAGTCTGGACCATTGTGACTTCCCTGAGTTGCTCAGTCCTAGCAATGTGGCTGTTTACGGGGGCCTCTGTGCACTCGCCACCTTCGACCGACAAGAACTGCAGAAGAATGTCATCTTTAGCAGGTAGGTTATTGTAATGTAGGCCTATTAGGTTATTGTAGAACCAGACCCTATGTTAACGTTGTCACCAGCTTTTGAATAAAAATAGACATACAATAGAACTACAATTAACTGCACTCCAACTATCCGAATCACTTACAGAAATAATTTAAAAAATCTTTTAACCTTAGTGTTAAAAATGTTTATTAAAGAAAGCAGAAGCCGTGATCACAGCAAAATCCACTATCTCACTCGCAGTTGTGTAGACATCATCAACTCCCGCTGTCACGGAAACACTGTCTTCGCGGCAAAATCTTGCACATCTTTCTCGGTCTTGTAGAAGTCATCATTGTTTTTTCGTGGTCACTGAAATATTGTCAACATTTTCCGTGACCAAATCTTGAATCTCTCTCCCGGTCAAGTACATCATCATCTTCTCTTGTGGTCACATAAACATCTCCATCGTTTTTTGCGATAGTGGTAAAATCTTGCAAATCTTCCGCCGCCGTGTAGACATGAATACCCAACTCCAGCAGTCTCGGAAACATTATCAATTATCATCATCTTCTATGATTGTGTCAAAATGTTAAATATATCCCACGGTCTTCATCACCCTCTCGTAAACGTCATTTTTTCCCCGATACTGGCAAAATATTGAAAATCTTCCTCAGTTTTATAGACATAATTTACGTCTCCCACAGTCACAAGAAATCTTAATTGTCCTCCGCAATTGCAGAAAAATCGTAAATTTTTCAATTGCAAAATATTTGCAGACATGTCCTGCGATTGCAATAGTAAAAGCTAGGCATGATTCTGTCTATTAACACTAAAATAACCCAAATGTCGGTAAAAATCCAACTAACCAAATTTGTTATTGCTGTACCGGTATCTGAATAGAGTTTGGTCTTAATTGAACCCTGACAAATGTACTGGCGTTAATAACTGATTTCTGTTGAGCAGACCAACTTTTAAACCAAGCCAAAGAATGATAGAAAAATTTATTGTAAACCATATCATTTTATTAAGTAGCTAACATTTGCTAACACAGTATCAAAAACTAAAAGAGAAAATATTATATTGACTGTAGCGGATTCTGTGAACTGTTCATTCATTCTACTGTGTTAAATTTGACAGCTGATCAATATGATGGGATGTCTACTTCAGTATCCAACGGTCACTGGTAGGCCTATTAGGTTACCGTTGTTGTACCAGAGTAGGCTACACCACTGTTTCATTTTGTGTGTTGGCAAGGTTAATTGTTCGGGGGAGCGAGCTGGTCTAGTGGTTAGAGCTTGAGACTTCAGTCCCTAAGGTCCTGGGTTCAAATTCCGCCAAATCACCAAATGGATTTTATCTAAGTGATATTGCCCCAACCCTTAGGTAGCCTGAAGTAATGTGAAAAACAATCCCAGGCTCTTGCCTAATGTCTTAAGAAAAAAATACCCCTCTCTGCAGCATACCTGCAGACTAAGCAAATTTCCATTTACCCGATTGGATTTTTGATTAAATTTATTTTAATAACATTGGTAAACCAGTACCTACCTAGGTTTGCTACTACAGGGAGGGTAATAAGTGTTTTTTAGTAAAATATGAATAGCTAAGTCTAAAATAAATAAATTTGCCAAGTTTGATCATATACAGGGCCGGATCTAGACAATTTTTGAGTGGGGGCAAACTAAATTTTGCCGCCCCTCCCCCCCCCTTTACCCACAACAAAAAATCCCTCACAAATTAAACAAAAATGGAATAGGTAAAGTGGAATAGGTAGATATAACGAATTCCTTGATATAACGAATTTTTTTTAATCCCCTAGAACTCTCCACAAGACACAGTGTATATTTTACCTCTACATAACGAACAAACTATAACAACAACCTTGATTTAACGAATTTTTCGTGATTTCGGCTAAAATAAGACACCTCAATATAACAAATTTATCATTGTCAGAACCTCTACATTGCGAATTTAACCTCTGCATAACGAATTGTCTACGTCTTTCCCTCGATATAACAAATCCCCCACCCAATTATTGTTTTGGGAAAATCTGTTTCTTTATCAAATGAAATGGAAAGGTCACGTCATAGCTTGCGCTAACATTTGTCTGCTCCGTTTTACATCTTTGTCTGCTAGTCTGCTGTCTCTGCGCGCGCCATGTTGCAACTGAGAACTGATTTCATTCACTGAGGACTGATGACGACGTAATGTTTAGTAAGCTGTGATTGGGCGATATGGGATAACTATGGTGAATTGTACAATTTTTTTGATAAAGAAAAACCTAAGAAAGAATATAAAAACAAAACCAAAGATAAAAAATAACAACATCGCTATTTTAACATTCCTTTTACGAGTATTTTTACTATCCTTAAGTTGGCTATGATTATACACTTTTATAATGACTTATCTAATAATTTATTGTTTTCAATACGATTTGTTTCAACTAGCATTAGCAACACTAATGCTGTAGTTAATGATTATTATTGACATTCCTCTGTTGTGATAAATCAGTACTGTACTGTAAGTAGCCTACTGGCCTATCGCGAGCAGTAGCTTACAAAACTTTCTACTGTTTTGTTTTGTTCTTTACATAATTTATGACTATGCAATACAGTGTTTGGCTAGGTTTTAGGAGGGTTAGAACAAGCTGTGATTTTAAACTTATAGTTTTTAACCTGTACCAAGGTCAATGTTATTGTCATGATTGCGCAATATTCAAGTACCCTCCAATTTATTATGCCGGATAATTTAGGTTCTACTGTACAATGTAAACACTGTGGTACTGTAAAGTATTGTAGCCCATGCTACTTTAATTGTACTGTATTTTAATGAGGTCAAGTCCCGACCTATATTGATCGACGCTGGTTCTGAACCACGACTTAGCGAAATTCCTGCAAACCTAACTTCTATATAACGAACCACGGCAGTGAGGCAGGGCGGCATGGCGCCTTGACAGGGATGGCGATCAGCTGAAATTGTAAACAAACTTTGCTGTGCTGCTAACTATGCTATTAGGGCTCTCAGTGTTTTCTACTCCGTTGCAATTTAGGCTATATTGATTTCTATTGTAAAATTATTGTTTGTTTATTACGTTATGCAGTTTTGAAATTACTTAATTGACGTTCCTTATGACGTTTGGCTCATTAAAAACTTTTACAAACTGTATTAAACAAATTTTCTGCAACCAGAAATTTGCCGCCCCTCAACCCTGCCGCCCGGGGCAACCGCCCCCTCTGCCCCCCCCTTGTTCCGGCCCTGATCATATATCCATTAACAAGCAAGCTATGACACTTAACTAATTCTCCATAACATGGGAATTTTAAATTCACAAGTTATTGAATTTTCTTCGTAACAAAACACCGTACAAAAACACTTCAATACATTATTGGTTTTTTTTAAGCTCTTTAAAAAGGTCTAAAGAGAAATTGGGAAATTTAGTTTTGAAGGTCAAAAATGAGAAAAACCAATTTTTACCCCATAGAGAAATTCGCTGAAAAAAAGGAGAAAAAATTAATTGTCCGATGAATCTTGGACATGATGTGATCAAACAAAGCCTTTTGATGTGTCGAGTGGATTTCATTTCCACTAAAAAATCTTTCAGTAAAGCCCTAGAAGTAGGTTCATTCAAGTCAGTCTGCTCATGAGTCATTACACTTCTTGTTAATGTGTTGGGCTTGTCGTATAGTACCACTAAAATGTAAAATTTAAAATAGAAACTGCACCAATATTTTATACATTTTTTTATATTTATGAGGCCTTTTGCCAGCTTTGCTGGCATCATTAAACCCATCATTAAAGGCCTCATAAAAATAAAATGTTATAAAATATTGGAGCAGTTTCTATTTTAAATGTTATTCTGCACAAGTGAAACTAAAAAATGATAAGCATTGTTTTTTAATCTTATATATTAAAATCCTATTTTAAAACATCTTCAGTTGAAAATATTTGCTCATTTTCAACAGCTCATGGACTATGGACTAAATAATGTTGAAATTGGCGCTCCATTTGAAAAACAATTATTTGATTTGGTTTGATGTACATGGTTTACTAATTAAATTGTGTTTTATTTTTGTTTCAGCTCGTTTAAGTTATTTTTAGAATTAGAGCCTCAACTTCGTGATATTATTTTCAAGTTTTACGAGTCCAAATATGCATCCTGTTTAAAGCTTCTAGATGAAATCAAGGTAAGTTGAGAACTTATTAAGTTTTTACCATAAAATGTGTCTACTTAATGAGGAAAAATACCCTTCAATCAATACATAAACTAATGTGGTTTAAGTAACTTTTCACTGCCTAGAAGGTAGTAATAGTTTTGTTTCTTTAAAAACAGATTATTCTTTGGAGATTATAATAACATTGTACTCCTAGAGTGAAAAGGTAGTTTTTAAATCCATGTACAAGACAAAGTAATTTTAAGAATTTCTTTCCTTACTTAATTCTATATTGTAAAATTAAACCCTTTTTGTTCTAGATTTAAGACTGCATTTTAGGATTTGTTTTTGATTTAAAATGTTAGGATTTTACCCTCACAATACTCTACGACTTAAATTTGTTCTGTTTTCAGGACAACCTGTATCTAGATATGTACCTAGCGCCACACGTTAACACTTTATATACTCAGATACGCAACAGAGCTCTCATACAATACTTTAGGTAAGTCCTTGATCATTTGTACACTGTTATAGAATATACTTTATTGTGACTAAAGCAAAGGGTCACTTAAAAGTCATACATTTTAATGGAAGTGGGTGCAAACTCTATGTAACTTTTTACTCTTTCAAACCTCATTGTTCAATTGGTAGTATAGCCGAGAAGTATTATTAATTTCACAATTCAGCTTTGCACAAAGAGGTGTTCACTGATGGTGTGTTGCAGCCCGTACTTGTCTGCGGACATGAGGAAAATGGCTGAAGCTTTGAACACCTCTGTGGGAGCTCTAGAGGATGAACTAATGCAGCTGATATTGGACGGGCAAATCCAGGCTCGGATAGACTCACACAACAAGGTACCAATACTGTTCGATGTTTAGTAAACTGTACTGTACATGAGCGTACTTTAAATTAGATAATAACTTTTAGTAATATGTAAGTGTGTTGTATAGTGGCTAGAACCTCGAGTTTCTGTCCGAGAGCGTCATATTTTATCCCCGACATAACCCTAAAAATTAGAGAAGTTTGGACTGTTGTTTCTTAGAAGTATTTGCAATCCATGTTTTCCTGCTTATACCTTAACCTTAAGTATTAAGATTTAATTTTGAACACAATTACTCTTATGATGCTGTGTGCATTTTCCTTTCAAAGATGATGTTGAAATAGAGGTTTTCCCAAGAAACTTCTGGCTACATATGTTTAAGTACAGTAAAACCTCATTAATTTGATAATTTTTGAACCGAGATGTTGTCGAGTTTGGGGGTTGTCAAGTTATCAAGAACATTGAAATTTGTAATGCATTTTAATAAATTAATAAAATTACAGACTAATTTTGTACATGTAAATTTATTTCTCGCATGAGTATCTTCAAAGAATTGTCAAATGTTCAATAATTAAAAGTTGAAAAGTCTGAGACAATAGTCTAAGACAAAGCCAGCTAGATGTGCGCCGTCAGCTGTTGACTGTCGAGTTACAAGGACTGACGAGTTGCCTGGTGTTGAGTTAGTGAGGTTTTACTGTATCAAGATTTGATGGTTCTTTATTTGGAAAACATCAAAAGTACTATGAACTCGGGAATTTAGAGATATCTCATGTCGCTAAATGTTTAACTTCATTCATTAGATCCTAAAAATGACCTAATTCCTGTTAAATTGGATACCCTACACACACCTGTTTTGATGCAGTTTTCAGGTACCCAAAAACAACTGGAATCTCTCAACCCAGGATTCAAACCTTCATCACCAGATCATGTTGGTAAAAAAAACATTATTTTTATCAGTAGGCTAACTGTAATTAAAGTAATTTTTGCCCTAATAGTAATTACACACTGTTTGCACAGATTCTTTATGCCAAAGACATGGACCAGCGCAGCACAACCTTTGAAAAGTCACTGGCAGTCGGCCGGGAATATCAGAGACAAACGAGGATGCTAATCCTGCGAGCGGCAATGCTTAGGCATCAGATCCATGTTAAGGTAACACTTATACACGTTACTTCTCTTGAAATCATTGAAATAATTGAAATCACAATCTTGCTTACTCACTCCCATGGTCTTTATCTTTTGTACTCACAAGCCTATTTGGTATCATCAACTAGGCCTACCTTCCTACAATTCTTTTTAATGCTATAAATCTTCCCCCTGGACCCTCAACATTTTATGCAATTGGCTTCTCAGTTAACTAGTATAAAAACTAGTTATAAAATTTTTTTATGTTACATTATTTTATAAAAAATATATTTTGGGCAGGTTTACGTATTTTGTGGTAGATAGGATGAACCTTCAGGATGTGTAGGCTCACCTTACTGATTAAAAAGAAAGAACATATTAAACACATGGAAAATAAATATAATAGAATATGTAGTACGAGACAACAGGGAGGAGCCAATAGTCCCAATAAATCTAGTTCGGTATGTTTGAGTGTATTTTGTGAACTTGATGTTCAAACTGTTTTTGTGCGTTTTCTTTCATTGTTTGGTGAAATATTACAAGTTTTGTGTATAGTGTAAAATTTGTGCTACTTGTGCTATTTCCCATTTAGATTAGCCTATAAAAATAACCTTTAAACTAAAGGCTTTTGCTCCATGTTAGGTCATTCAGATAACACTCTTCAGAAGAATCTTAATTACTTACCAAATATGTAATTACATAACTGAACCATCAAAAGGATATGTGATACCTAAGCTGTGCACACTTGATAACAATGCCATCCTAAATAAAGTTAGTTGCATTAAAATAATCCTTGTTCACAGAGCCCACTGAGAGAAAACAGTCAAGGAGGTGAGATGTCCGTCGCCCCGGGCAACAGCAGTCTCGCTCCTCGGTCATGAAATGTCCCCTAATGTGTCGTCCCATTATTGTTTATTGATTGCTACCCCATAAAGTAATGTACTTTAAAATTGGTTCTTATTTTAAATCCTTAAAGATCCAAAAGCTATGTTATCCTCCTTCTAACATACTTCAACCAATGTTTTTGAATTTTGAAAATTGGAACTGAATATTATGATATTCAATTTAGATTAAATAAATATATAGGATGGAGAGGACACAGCTAACTCACCTGGTGAAAGGTTGCAGACGAGTCAAGGAACACATAAAACACACACATAATAATAATACTTGATATTTCTGTGATAATTATGTGTTCTATGACTCGTCTGCAACCTTTCACCAGGTGAGTTAGCTGTGCCCTCTCCATCCTATATATTTATTTAATCCAAGCTAAATGCTTTTTCCTGAAATTCCATTTAGGTATATTATTTCAAGGTAAAGACCTATGGTTCGTCCAGACTATGGTCTCCCAACAATAGCTAGGGACCGGCCGACCACCCGCGCTAATTAAGCGTAAATTGAACTACACTCTAACTCATCAAAGTGATCGTAGTTTGTAATTTTTTCTTAAAGATTTTAATTCTATGTGTTATTTTATCAAAATGATGTGAAACACAACGGATTTATTTAAATTAGTAACATTAATATTACCAGTCTTATAGTAAAAAATAAAACTAAAAGAAAAAATATTTTACACTAAAAATTATATTTGATAAATAATATAACACACAATAAATTAAGTTCTACTTGTATTTAACTTCCTAGGGGTTTGGCAAAACCCTTAACCAGACCCCAGCTTTACACTAGATTGTTTTTGTTAGCAAATTTATTTATTTATACTAAGCTATTAAACTTTGCTAAAACCACACTTCATTACTCTCCCGTAGCAGCAAACCTAGGTACTCATGAAACCTAACATAATGTTATTTAAATAGATTTAACTATAAATCAAATCAGGCAAATGGAAATCCGCTTAGTCAGCAGGTTTACTGCAGCGGGGGTACTTAAGTCCTATGTGATCTAATTTAAGCTATAGTCAGGAAGGGTGATAAATATAAAGGTCAAGTTTTAATAATTTATTTTAACAGATTTTTAAAACCCTTATTGTTATATATTCTATACAGCACATATTTTTATACAAATACAATAAATGAAACAGTTACATCAAATAATGCACATAAAATAATGCAGATTTTATGAATGGTGGAAATAAGCCTTAAAACAAAGATGGTTGATTTGGTAAAGTTGGGTTGGAGTACTCTACTACAATTCTGACCATTAAGTAAATTTTTACTTGGCGATTTCATCGAAGTAAGGAGCTGAGGAAATGTTTCCATAAACTGCTAGCGACTTCTTTCCTGATGCGATCTTCTTAGCAGCCTGTGTGAAATAAATATTAATAATTAAATTAAAACAATCATGAACATTATCTTAACAAAAAGTAAACTGTAAAAATATATTTTGGTCTTACTGAATTGATAACTTGTAATAGCTATTTACCTTACAAGTGTAGGAAGAGTGTTTTTACATCATGCAGGTGAATGTTGTGCAACAAGCGGAAGCGAGTTGCATAATTTACCTAAGTGATGTAAACACGCTCTTGCGTAACGTGTAACGTACATGATTTTACCTGACCCGACAATATACAGGAGGTTACGAACAATATTTTTCATTATCCATTTCACTCATCTTCTAACAGTAACGTTCATTTACAAACAAAAGCTAGGTTAGGAAAATTCTTCAAAACATAACAATAAAATTCAAGCGCACAGCTGATTTCTAGCGTTGAACGTCGTTGGCTCCATAGAGGTATATTTTTTAAGTTAAGCACTCATGTTATTTAAATGGGTTTCATTACCTCACCGAGTGAGTTTTTCTCAACTTTACATCACTCGAGAAGTAAAGAATTTGTATACATCACGCTTGGGATAGGGAAGTTTAACATGGCGGGTTAGGTAAATACTTTTATTTAATTTTTTTTATTACTAATAAATAGTGCTATCCTCACCATTCTAGACCCTATACGTTTTTACTTGACAAGGGAAACAACTTATTTAATAATTTGGGAGCCCATAGATAGCACAGGGGCTCAGATGGCATGTGGTACTGTCAAACGTAAAAACAATTGGAACATTTGTAAGGCCAACAGCACTGGCCCTCCAAACTGTTTACATCTGACAATGAAACCAATGAACGTAATATACAAAACAACACTTGAGTCTTTCAAACAACACACTACCAATTTGGCTATTTCCGTTGTCAGACTGCCTGTAAAACATGCAGAAGAACGTTGTTTATCCGAAAGGTCGAAATGCGTTTGCCCAGACAAGTTGCAGAACTTCAAACGCAGAAGGGATGAAAATACCCGGGTATTTTATTTATTTATCACTGTGGGTAAATATACCCATTTTTAATTTGTACCCATTTATTTATAAAATTGAGTTTTAATTTTGTATTTTCCCTCTATGAATAAAATTGGAAAGGGGTGTATCATATATATTTGATTTTAGTTTATTAAATTATTAGTTAATTAGAACTTACAATGCAAATTATATGTGCAACTATTAATATTTATAAGTTTTGGTTATTAAGGCTTACATTTACATTCATTTTTAACAAAACATATAGGTCTATTGGTATTGGTATATCCACATTTCAATTTAAACTAAATGCCACGGTCCATGTATAAATTTGAGTCAGTTATATTATCCAGATACTGATATTTAATCTACGGCATTAAAGACAATATTTCTGAACCAGGCTTACTAAGTGTTGCCAAGATTTTTTGCTTGTATGGCTTTTTTATTATACACCTTTATTATACAATTCAAGTAAATTCATTTTATACAAAAAAGTTTGCATTTTGTATTTGGGAGAGTATAGAACAAATAGGCCTAGATATCATATTTTTTAATAATTATTGATCCTTTTAAAGATTTGTATAAATTGGCGGTTAATATTAGAAATCATAAATGGCCATTTATAATATTTTATAAATTTATTTATTTATTTATAATTTTATAATTTCTTTATTTTATAATATTTACAATTTTTTAATTATTTTTTTTATAAATAACCATCCTTTTCAGTGTGTGGGTGTTTTTGGCGAGTTTCTTGAGTTTGTAGTTCACCCTATATCACAAACTATACCCTCTAACAAACATCTGATTTTTATTTTTTACTTATTTTGAGATGACAAATCCAATGAAGTATGAAAACAGTGTTATTATTTATACATTTTATTCAGGTATTCACCCGGCCCACATCACAACAGACAAGGTAATATGTTAACCCTTTATATATTTGGCAGTACTTACATTCTGAACGTCAGCTGTGGAGAGGGCGTCTACAGCAGCTGCTATCTGTGGTGCGGCCAGTACGCTGCCCAGCAGTAGAGCCTGGCTGCCAATGTCCTGTACTACAGCCTCTCCATTCTCATAACCCTGCAGTAGCAGTCCCTTGACTACAGCCTTGCCTCGGGCCACATCAGCATCACTCACTGGTCCATGCAGCACCTTGGCTACTTTCTCAGCAGCCTGTAACAAACACATGTTCTACACACCGAAATCCTCGTTTTCTCCCTTAGTTAACGATTTGTCCTTTTGGGTTGGCTTGGTTAAAAAGTTGGCGTGTTTGACAGAAATCCGTTATCAGCCCACTTAGTCAATGAAAGTAAATCTTTACTCTAAAAGTGGCTGCAACTTCTACATGGGAACAGAATGTTTACTTCTCCAGAGTTTCCAGCAGTGCTTAGATTTGTGGTACAATCCACATGATGAGACAAATAATAATTTGAAATATTGCATACCGTACTCATAATCAACTGCACTTGTGTTGAGTCAATTGTCAACACTCAACTCAACCAACAACAAGATTTGGTATTTTTGAAATCCAACAGTTGAGAAGTGAGTTGGTAGTCACTAGTTGAGTCTGAGTGACTCGTTTGTTTGGAAATGAAAGCGGCAACACCACACGAAATACAGATGACATCATTTTGCAATTTATTCAACAGAAATAAACAATAGAATAAACTAATAAAGTAATTTCTATGGCGCTATGACAACAAATACCTAACCTCTAATCTCAGTTAGTAAACAAAGCAATAACAATATGGCGACTCAAATAGAGCAATTTTTTTCTGAGAGAGGAAGAAGAAAGTGCAGTCAACCGTCCACTCAACAGCTCAATAGGTGGTGAGTAGTTTTGGTTGGACAAGTCAACTCCAACTGTCAATCGTTTGAAAAATACGAAACGATTGGAATGTGAGAGACTCAACAGTCAACCATTTCAAAAATAGGGCCCCTGAACACTATGATCAACTTACTGCCTTGGCGTTGCTGGGAGTGGTGGTGAGGACAACTCCAAACAGTCCGGAATCGGAGTAGGCTGAGCTGAAAGCGGAGGCGCCCAGCAGCTCCTTGGAGTCAGCCGTCACCTTGCCCAGGGGTCCAGCGCCGATGCCGTACTTGATAGCTGAACCGGCCCCCAGAGCATGGCGCAACACTGCGAAAGCCAGAGCTTCCTTGGACTGCAACCTACAGACATGTTGATGCAAGCATTGCGTTAAAGTGGACTAGTTATAATCTGAATCCAGGGTCATGTTCTTTACCTCATGATCTAACTGTTTTTGCGGTTTTCACATTTATGTGACGATTACTCTCCTCAAAGTGGTTGATAGTGATGTATGAGAAAATGACACTCTCGCCAAGTATTAATTGAGATCTGTGATAAGATCTCTGTGGGAAGGGGGTTACGCCCTAGTAAAATCCATCACCAAAACACAGATGTCATTGCAGAAATGTATATGTACAAAATTGAGGATGAAGTAAACATTTAAAATCTATATTCTAAGGCTACACCTTTGAGTTACAGTTGGTCATAATGTAAAACAATTTATGTGTGAAATCTCAAAAACAAGTTTTTCAGGAAATGTTTCGGTGTTGAGACACCATTATCAGCTTCAGGTACTTGCGGAGTTGCTCAGCTGCAAAATTTGTCAGGTCGCAAAAATGATAAACACAATGCACACTAATATGAATGACAATAAATTTTGATAAGCAATAGACCAATTTTCAATCTGTCCCATGGTATCAGTGTGGTCAGATTTATTTTTCAAAACAGGTTTTTAAATTAAATCATTAAATGTTAATTGTTTCAATACGTCTATCGTTCATCTTAATCATTGTTGATACTGTGTGTTTGTATTGTGTTTGTGCTTATCCTACATGAGGAGGTTTCCAACAGAGCATCCTCACAAGTACCTGAAGCTGACTATAGTGACTATAGTGTTCTAAAAGCGAAACATGTCATATACAATTCTTTTCTTTTTGAGCTGTCTGACGGAAATTGTGTTAGTAATAAGGTCTTGTAAGTCAGATTTTTACAATCTCTTTGCAGCAACTGAAGTGTGTTAGAGAGATAATGAGCAACACATACTTTACACCTAATTTTTTAAGTTTTTCCGGTTAAGCCCCACTTACCCAGCAGATTCGGCAGCCAGGGCGATGTGCACGTGAGGAGACGGCACCTCAAGCCTCTCCTCGCCTCCGTAGTACTTAGCAGGGGCTTCGGGGCCGGCGCCACTAGACAGTTCCAGCGATGAAGCCAGCTGCGCTAGGTGGTCTGATGAGACACCCACACCCACCACAGCGGCGCGAGGGGCAGTGAACGTCTGGCGTACAAAGTACTGCAGCTGTACACACAACATTCAGTTACTACAATTATGTAACATCTTCTCAAATTTCGGTGCCCCTACAAACCTAACAAGTCATAGTTGGGTATCACGACAATTTCTTAAAGATTCGTTTTTTTAACAAAATATATCAATGAAGCCAAAATATGGTGAGCCAGCCTAGCCTAAAAGCTTCAGTTGAGTGATTAGAAATTAGAAAATCGAGATTGAGTTGAGTTTTTAATATCACAATATTGTCGTGTAGCAAAACCTGTTGAAAACATTGGGCAATCAAAAAATTCACCTTTTGCCGTAGTTGCGGAGGACAAAGATGACGTCCCCGCGACTACAGAAGATGTTCATTTTGTTGCTGTTGCGGAAGACAGTAAATATGTCTGTAATGACCACGGTTACAAAGTTAGTTCTTCTGAACAAACTTACCTTTAATAAGTTACAGACTATCATGGAGTGAAGTAGCCTATATATTTGAAATTTTCAAATTATACATATTTGAATCTTACAGTTTCAGAGTTTTGCGATTTTGCAGCAAGTGCAGAAAACTATGATGATGTTTCCTAGACCGCAGGGGGCAGGATTTTTATTGATTGCAGGAGAGGGTGATAAAGTCCACAATACCACGGGAAATGATCATGATATTACCGCAGTAAAATTGTGATAAATACACACTATACCAAATTTATGATTACTAATTATAATACAGCTGGTCTGGATACATTATAAAATTAAAATACATTTCGTTAAGAATATTTGTGACAAATTAAATTCATCATATGGAATTACATCAAATTAATCAAATGAAACAACTCGACTCAATAAAAGGAGCCAAGCTTTCTTCCAAAAGCTTGATTCGAGCAAAGATCTCAGTCTCGCACACCTTTACTTCTAATAACCCAATAGGGTAATATACATATACACTTTATCAAACTGGTATTTACAATCTATTGTAGAATGAAGTACAGTAGGCTATGTACATTTGAAACTTACAGTTTCAGAGTTTATTTTTCCAATGGCGTGTTCCTTCACAAAGATGGAGTTCCCAAGACCAGTTCTGTAAGCCGCTTTGTTCACTAGATCTAAAATTCTAGCCTAAAACATAAAGAACAATATTTTATTAGTTTATCAGGCAATAGTTGTATTGCATGAGGGTCGGATTTGAGGTCCCGAAGCTTATTGAACATGCTCCACTTGCCACTAACTAGGTAAGCCTATCCCGTGTCCTTGACCATTAAGTCAAACAATCTAAAAGAAGCTTAAAGTTACAGAAATAAGGAAATTTACAGCACCTTCAGGAGGGTGCGAGGACAGTTTAAACAAACTCAATGACAATAAACATCATGTTTCCAGTAGTTTTAATGGAACAACTATGATATCCCATAGTCTGCAAGATCTCCAAACTTATCCTATGTAGGCTAATAGGTTTTGACCAGGAAGGAATATCCATATAATAACATTCAAAGGGATTAATATGTTACCTGAGGAGGGGTAGTTGCCAGTTCGTACTTGATGCGGGGAATCTGATCACTGAGTTCCCAAGGCTTGAACACCTGCTTGGAGGCAATGTCCACCAGGTACTGTAGCCCTTCCTCGCTGCAAATCACAAGTGCAAGAAGTTTGAAAATTTGTGACGATACATAAAATATCTCTTTACCAACCAAATACAGTAGAACGTCAAAAATCCGGACTGTTAATACTATAAATTTGTTTCTAATGAGAAATCAAATTTGTTACTGTCTTTAAAAAGTAAATAAAGAGTTAGATACAAAAAGCTTAACCACTAACGTAGTTCAAAAGCCTTTCTCACATTTTTTCAAAGCTCAAATTTGTAGTGTCTGACATGGGCGTCCATTAAACTTTTTTATAGGGGATATTATTGTTTACCTAAATTTGATTTGTAAATTCATAATTTGTTGCACCTTTTTTTTATTTTAAACTTATTGCTTTGGCCACTAGTACCCCAAGTGGTACTTTGGGTTCTTGTGTGGTACCCCAACACAATGCGGTCATTCTCTGTCACATGTTTGACTCATAATTGTATTAGGCCTAACATAACTTACACTTTTTATCAAAATATTATCATATAGGCTATCCTTTTTATCATAAAGCCTACAAAGCCCCTCCCCCTATGCTTAGTTTTGAATGCTGGATTAAAATTGTATATCTTTATTTTAAACAATCATTTAGGATTAGAAACAATTGAACAAACTGATTATAAATAGTCAAAGATACAACCTACATGCAATGTATAAAAATTAACCATCATTGACCCAGCACCTAAGCAAAAAAAAAACACCATCATCTGTTTTCTGGAAACTATAACTCACATCTTATCAGGAGTAGCTTCCAATGTGTAAGCAATGCCTTCTCGATCAGACGTAACACTGAGGCTAGCTCCGATCTGCTGCAGGTTGCGGACAATACCGAAGGCGGAGGCGCCTGAGGTGGACAGCCCTGCAGAGGACCTTAGCACGTTGCTCACACCAAGATGGTCTGCAGACTCGTACCGGGAGCCTGCCCTGCAAAACATGTTTCTCTTTAGAGCTTTAGAATCGATATATCTTATAAGATCATTAATGAACGAACGAATTCCTAGCATACTCCTAAAAACTTCCAGCGTCTCTTTCACTTAAAATGCCAGACTCCATAAAAAATAACATGTAAAGTTACTTTATTAAGTGTTAATAAAGGAACTGTTTAAATGTCACCATCATACCGGAATTAACCCTAAGAATACGGTAGCCAGAGCAAAGAGCTATCTGAAATGTTGTCTATCTAATGTGAATTAAACTTGTAGGCTTATTGAATAAATTGTAAATTGGGTCTCCAGTTAGCCAACACACACACACACACACACACACACACACACACAAATGGATTTGGGGAAATAAGTAGGCCTAATATCTTAGATGTAGGCTATGCCTTAGGTCTACTTTTTGTTTTTGTACAGCTGGAGGACCTTAGAACAGAAGGGCAAACCAATCTGTAGACAAATATTTATGGATAAAACTACCCTATTGTATGGCTGTGTTAGTAATGGACTTACTTAAAAAGAACAGAGACTCGGCTAATTGGGATTGCACTGTCTGCAGAGGCAATGACAATTTTGTTGGGTAGAACCTTGACGTGCACATCAGCACAAGCCTGGGCCAGTGTTGCAGCTGATGCATAGTTCCGTTTCTGAAAAATATAGCCATTCGATATGTATACATTAGAAATGACTCTGAATATTTCAAAATGCTCTGTGATATCCTTTTCCAGATCTAGCACACCCATTATCTTCCCCTACTTACTCTCCCACGTTCTTTCAGGATCAAGGACCTTGGCGTCATACTTTCACCAAATTTAAACCCTCAAGACCATATAAATTTTATCTGCAAGAGAGCAAATTCTGCCTTATATTTCATTATAAGGAACAGTCGCAACATGTTCTCTAAAAATGCATTGAGAATCCTCTACATACATCTAGTCAGGCCTTTACTTGAGTTTTCATCACCAGTTTGGAGCCCTTACCTAATTGGGCAGATTGAGAGTCTTGAGAACGTGCAGAGTCATTTCATTCGTCTGGTTGGTGTGCTGATGGGTTATGACTACCGCACCGTTCCTATCCAGAATTTACAACTTCAGTTAAACTTGAGGCCACTACTTGCACGACGTGAAATCAATGACCTTCTGTTCCTGAGGAAGCTAATTAACTCAGACATTGATGCACCTGATCTACTATATAAGTTGAACTTCCGCACATCCCGTCACCTGCGCCAAACTCATCCGTTCGCTAGACGTCAGTACTCAACCCAGTACATGTTCCACAGTACATTTCCCCGCATCCAACTCTTGGCCAACAGCTTACCGGAAGATATCGACCTCTTCTCCACCAGTGGCGAGTCGTTGAAAAGAAGGATGTTACTTGTTGATCTGTGAGGCGCTGCCTTGATTTGTTGTTTAAGTAAAATATCAGTTTATTTATTTATTACTATTGTTATATTTTCTATTGTAGTATTATTATTGTTATATGCTATTGTCATTATTCGTTCCTGTTGTTATTTATTATTGTTGCTATTGTATTTGATGCTGTTGTTGTTTGTTGTTGTTATTATTTTTGTTATCTTTGTTGGCTACACATTTTTATTCAATGTTAATTATATCAAAGATTTATCATTGTTAGTCAACATTGCTCAGATTTTAGTTCTTGTTCTTGTTGTCTTGTCAAGTTCTCTCATTAAGTAGATTCTTAAGCCCCTTGTCATGTTTGGCTTGACCCTTAGTTATAGGAACATTGAGTAAGCATTATATTAAAAATAAATGTAAATTTGTTTGTTTGGACCGTTGGAAGCAAAATAAATAATAAAAAATACTGTAGGCTCAGTGCTTTCCAACAGCAGAGCCAATTAAAGCTATTCAAGTTAGTTGTGAACTATTTATTTGATTTGTCCCAATCACATTTTTGTCTTCCAAAAGCAGGGACAGCTGTTTGTATCTGTCAATAGGTTGAAGTCCTATTAGAGCCCAATCACATAATAAATTCATCCAAGAGCGCTTCATATAAGTTAAAAGTTAAAGTGATTCAACTCAGCTAAATTTTAATTGATCTTCTGGTCTGTTTTTAATTTTCTATCTGATCCGTATTCAATCACATGTAATTTAGGGAGCCAGACACAACTGGGGAAACAAATTTACATAGCATAACTTAGTTTTGTTTTGGACAAGATTTTAATGTGCGGAGCTTAGCTCCTCAAGCACACGCACCCTAGAGGGTTAATATATAGGCATAACAATCAATAGGTAGAACAATCGTTTGCAACCAGTGGAATTGTAGGCCTATGTCTTAAGTTCTACAAAACTTTCTTTGAATTGCTGTTGGATGTGAATTAGCCTATCGTTGGTTGGGGAATTGGCCAAGGCCTATTTGATCAACAATAAGATAACTTAGTTAAGATAAGTTACCGGTAAATGTGTGTGTTTTGGAACTGTAAGGTTAATTGTGGACCAGCCAATGGTAGTCCTAAGATCATTAACAACCCTTGGCTTATTAATTTAAGAACAGTTAAGTTAGTAGGCCTATAGCCTAAGTGCTGATAGTCAAAAATCGTTTAAGTTAACTGGTTCTAATCCATGAATTGCATATAACTGTAAAATGCATAAGAATAGATTATGTAAAAAACAACATAAAATTGTTTTATTAGTTGGAAAACTTACGTCTTTATGGAAAAATGCAGACCAAGACGAATGACATTCAAAGCAGACGACACTATAATGTAAATTGTATTAATTAAATTTTACATTTGTAACAAACGCTTTTAATATACTGGTATATAATTAGATTAACTTACCGATATCGCTCGCAAAATTGGGGTTTTCGTAACGTTTGATGCCATTTCCAAGATATTAAAACTTGACCTCTGAAATTACCCTAAAGATGCAAATAGCAGAAAGAAATGTAAGAGAAGAGAGGTGGTGGTGGTGAAGAGAAGAGGAAGAAAGGTAAAAAAATACATCAAAGAGAGTAGAGTAGAGACAGTGAAGATTTGAAACTAACAACAAAACCTTTGGATATCCCACTATCCCCGCCGCAGCAAACCTGCCGACTAAGGGAATTTCCATTTGTCTGAATTGATTTTCATTTAAGTCTATTTGAATAACATTAGCTTTAACGAGTACCTAGGTTTGCTGCTACAAGGAAACTATTGAAGTGTGTGTTTTTGGTAAAATATTATTAATGGCTTAGTTTTAAAAATAAATAAATTTGCCAAGTTTGCTCAAAATATATCCATAAACAAGCAAACTACAACATTTTATTTATCCTATTCAAGTTAAGGATAAGTAAGTTTGTCATTTGTCATTTGTCATTTGTCATTTGTCATTACAATATTCTCCGTAAGAATAGCATTGGAATTTTTAAATTACATATTTTTTAATTTCTCTATTACGAATGATTGCACCAAAACACTTTGATATACTTTTTTTAAGCTCTCTAAGAGGGTCTACAGAGATATTGGAAAATTTTATGTTTGGAGGGTCAAAAATGAGAAAATATATTTTACGCCACTACATGATTTTGACGAAATTCCCACGCAAGGATTTAGTCCAGAAAACATCTGTTTGCCACCAGCTTATTCAAATGGGGTTTCATTGCGTACTACTGTACTGCAATGAGTTTTACCGGACACCAATCAGCTGATTATACTGTATTTAGATGGCAATGAATGGTTATAAACAAAAACATAACCTCTAAGAGAGGTTATGACTAATGATTTTTAGACCTTTAGTTGGTGAAAATATATATGGATTGGTACAGACTTATTAGTAGTATGGCGTAAACTATCGTACGTAACTCGTCCAAAATGTGTGTACCGGACTCGTATGGTAATCCCGGGTCGCCGGATGACTGCCCCCCGGAAAACTACCCCCCCAAGCAGGTTCCTACGTCATATTGACGTCAGGGACCGGGGGGGCAGTTTTCCAGTCACGGACACTCAAATTTAGTTGTCAAACAGTTCTAATCTAACCTAACCTAACCAACCAAACTTGCTGTTACATTTCGAAAATCTGTTTTATATTCACCACATGCCTTTTCTATTATCCAACGGAATTACTCGAATTAAAATTAAAATTACATAGCATGATTTGTCTAGGGGGGGTAGTATTCCAGTCGCGAACACGGTTTCCATATTGGTTAGTTAGCAGATTTTGTGACGTCACGTTTCACCTGGGGGGGTAGTTTTCCGGGGGATAGTATTCCGCATCCCCATAATCCCGTACCTACTCGTCGTCTCGCACGGGGACGACCACACTCGTCCGGTAAACACTTCATCAGGACTAGTAACGTAATATACTATTTCCTACAGTCACCCGACAAAGTTGGCTTCGTTGTACTGTTTATAGTACAGAAAGCTAATAATTCCTGCATATTTATACTTTGTCGTACGGTTTACTTTGGCGCACATCAGGATTCCAACGAAACAACACAAAACAGCTCGGTTCTATTATGCACGTAATCCGTGTACGCTTGGAAATAGGTTGGCAACACTTAAAGATGATAAAATACTATGAGCAGCTGATTGACTATTATAACTACGATTTAACCTGTCATTTCGTGTTTATCGTTTCGGTATTTCTGAACTTTCTGGACTTTTCTTTTAAACGTTTTTAAAACATTCCTACGATCTTAATAAACATGAAAATACCGTTAAAGCATTTTTTTTAGGTGCGGAAACCACTTCAAATTACAAAAACATACGGAACTAGGTATATTTTTTAAACGCGGCACATTTCTTGCCGAGGAAAAATAGCGGAGTGATACAGACCGGGTACTACTTTCTCTAGGGCACCTATTTGTGTTGCCAGCTGAATCTAAAAACTTGTTGTATAGTGTTTGAAAGACTAATTATTTATATGCTTTATAGTGAATGTAGGAAAAATATAATGTGTAACACGAGTGTAAAAGGCCTTTGCTGCACACGAGAGCAATAGTTACACAAATAACTATTTCCCCTATAAGACCCCGCGTAAAACCTCTTTCCCATGGTCCGATCATGCTAGTTCGTTAACTCATTCAAGTTTACATAACACCTTTGAACAAAATTTCATCAAAATCGGAAAAAATACTCAAGTTACTCGTGGACATATATATATAACTAATATTGTGACTGTGACCATGACCTAAGAGTCGAAATGCATTAGTCATCAAAGATATTTAAATAAGGGCACTTGGTACTATATGGTTTATTTTGTATTATATATATATACTAGCAGAGTACCAGTCCTTCGCTTCGTACGGGGTTGGCATATAAGTATCAAATGCTTATTGCAGTTATACTCAATGTTTGCGTTTGCAATGAGGGAGGACACAGTTTTGATTAAATCTGTTTCTTTAAATTTACAGTATTCTATAAATTATCATAAATTCGGAAAAAATCACGAATTATTCATGAAATTAAAAACATAAACATAACTGTAAACAATCCTACTTTGACAGTTAGTTCTCATTGCGTATCACAGTTTTTTGTTGCTGCTTAATTCAAACTAGAGGTCGTCCAATGGTCGAAACTCGACCAAAAATATGCAATGTAGACTTGCTTCTTCATTTTCACACCACACTGTAAATAAACATCTGATTGGAGTTTCTTCCATTTGTTTTTATTTTATGTTCATATTTCGTTGTTATTTCGTCACCAGCATGGAAACCCATAAGATCCATGTTAATTTTTTCAAAATTTTAAATTCATTTACTGTACTTATTTTTTAGCATATTGAATTTATAAAGGCATTCTGCACATCTACAGGAAATAGTAAATTACGTTACTAGTCCTGAAAATAAGTGTTTGCCGGACGAGTGTGGTTGTTCCCGTGAGAGACGAAGTCGAGTACGGGATTACCATACGAGTCCGGTAAACACATTTTGGACGTGTGACGTACGATAGTTTACGCCATACTACTAAATCTGTACAAATCCTTATACATTACCACCAACTAAAGGACTAAAAATCACTAGTCATAACCTCTCTTAGAGGTTATGTTTTTGTTTATAACTAGTCATTGCAACCCAAATACAGTATAATCAGCTGATTGGTGTCCGGTAAAACTCATTACAGTACAGTTACAGTAGTTTGCAATGAAACCCCAATTGATTAAGCTGGTGGCAAACGGCTGTTTTCTGGACTAAATCCTTACGTGGGAAGTTCGTCAAAATAGTGTAGTGTTGCGTAAAGATACACTCGTATGGTAATCCCGTACTCGACTTCGTCTCGCACGGGAAGGACCACACTCGTCCGGAAAACACTTATTTTCAGGACTAGTAACGTAATATACTATTTCAGCTTGTTTATGGATATATTTTGATCAAACTTTGCAAATTTATTTATTTTATACTAGCTATTATTAATATTTTACAAATAAAACACACTTCAATTGTCTCCTTGTAGCAGCAAACCTAGGTACTCGTTAAAGTTAATGTTATTTAAATAGACTTATACCATAGATAAAACATACTTCAAATGAAAATCAATTCAGACAAATGGAAATTCTCTTAGGCAGTAGGTTTGCTGTGGCGGGGGTATATTAATTAATAATTATTTTATGTTGTTACAACTTAAAATTAGAAGTATTTCAAGAAGTAATTTGTTCATATCGAGTGTTGAAATAGATAATATTGTGTAAGAAATAGATACTGAATATATTTTATGTTGCTTATATAGTACCGTGATAGGTTACTATCCCAGGTCCCATTCATATTGAGGAGAAACCCACCCTGTTTCCGGTCTTGAGTCCAGGTCAGTTCTGTTCACATTTCTCTCTGCCCATTTCTTCATCCGGCGTCAGCAGAGCAACATCTTCCACCTCACGTTCATCATCAGGAATGGTGGTAAGCACGCTTTTACTGTTTGCTTTATCTATTTTTATCCGCTTGCATCTTTTAATCTATTCCAGCTTTATTATTACTAAAGTTTCTACGTTAACTACTATTGTTTTCTGCTATTTAAATGAACACTTTGAGCTCTATCGCACCACATTTTTGATCGCATTTTGTGCTTGCGACGCCGCTTAGGCTAAAGTTTGTCTTCATTACTAATGCGAACAACCTCATCTTACTTTTGATCAAGTTGAATTAATACAACGGACCAAGTTCTAGTTTTTAAATAATAATTTTTCATTTCTTGTACAAATCTGAGCTTTTGTGATTTATGTTTTGAAGCACACTTGTCTAGCTAAGTTAACTCTGAAGGTCTCAGCCTTTTCCAGATGACCATGTGCTTTTTAACTAATCATACTTAACAGGCCTAACCTAGCCTTAGCCTACTTGCTCACTGTGCCTTGATTTCAACATATTTATAATATAGTTAGGCTCTTAGTTGGAATTGAACTTATGCAAAGGAGGTTTAAAATAAGTTAGGCCTATAAGTTACCGCCTAGGCCTAAATGCCAGCAGGTTAAGGTAAACTCTTCAATAAATTTTTTAAAACATTTGAGTGCGGCCTGCTGTAACTTATTTGAAATGAAGTGTGGATCTGGCGCGCGCATTGGACAATGTTAACCCTCCGAGTGTTAATCGTCTCGTAATTGACGCACAACACACCCACTGTGGTGTTATGCGTCGCTTTTGCGACCCACAAACATCGATTACGGCGAAGGCTCTGGGACTGACTGGATCGAGATTGGTACTAATTGTTGTTTTCGGCATATTCTGAGCTTTCTCCTGATGTCTGTTTCTAGACGCTATTCATTTCAGTTCCGAAAATATTGTAGCAGACAGCTGACGCGCCTATTTCTAAACATAAGTGATTTTGAAGGGCTGGTTGATGATCCTGAAGAAGTAGGTAGTGATATTGATGTAAATTATCAGCCAGATTCCTAGCTATGGTTAGGCTATGCATTCTTATCTAAACGTTATGTACCGAAATCGGTTTTTGCCCATAACTTGTGTATTTGCAAACCTACTTCTTTAGCCTGTATTATTATCCCTTAGAGTGCCAGGCGAGAAATCAAAGTAACACTCATAAAATGCCGATGATTTTTCCCGAAGGTCGCGCTAAAAATGCCGAGCGCGATCTGGCGATTCTTAGGTTAAAATTTTGTAAAAATCGAATTTTCGATATTTCGACCGACAAAAATCGATGTATCGCATCTAGTAACTTTCGACTCAATGTTAATATATGGGTAAAAAGAATCCGAGTATCCATTAGGTTGTTATGACAACTGTTCGATCATTACGAAACGTCCGGTCAGCCAGACGTTGGCACTTTTGGCTCGTTCTAAAAAGTCCGGTCGGCCGGACGTCGGCACTTTTAGCTCGTTTTAAAAACGTCCGGTTCCCCGGACGTTGGCACTCAAAGGGTTATATTTTTGGAATCCTCATAAAATTCTTAACAAAGTGGCTAACTTATTTTAACTTAAAATATTTGTATAACTTGCCTATAAATTATAACAACGTGTTAAGCGCTAACTTAAATTTTTTTTCATTTAAACTTAGCCTATTTTATAATTTTTGAGAAATGTTAACCACAAAAAAATTTTTGAACATTTTTTTTTTATGTTTTTTATGTTACATTAACCCTCCAAGTGTCCATAGTTTAGGCCTTAATGTCCACCTATTTTTGGCGCATTTGCAAGGTTTTATTAAAACGGATCCGAGAAGCTTAAAACAATGTTAATTCTAATGTTCTAAATACCATTTTGTTTGGAAAATCATGGGCTTCAATAAGGTAAACATACCAAATACCGAACGGTTAAGGTTAGGTTATGAATTAATCTGTAAAATATATTTATAGGTATAAAGTAAGCTTTATTTGTTGCTATTAAAATGATTGCTTATATTTCCAGATTTAATTTTCAGCGTTTGAAGTCAATAATAATAATATTCATTACCAGAAATTGTGTTTTTTTCAACCAATACCAAAAATTTTGAAACTGCCTAATACCGAATTCGAATTTCCTAATACCGAATTTGTGCCGCCTAATACCGAACGGCAATTCCGCCGGCGCCCAGGAAGCCCAAAATTGTATTGAAAGCAATTTTTATTCTCATTTAATTCTTAAATTATATCTCATACAAGATTTAACAAATATAAATAACAAGAGTTGAGTTAAAACATGGTTGTGAAGGGGATGATCTCATTACGTCAGCTGGTATTGGTTAGACATTCTCTGGAATGTGAGTCATGTAAGTGGAGATGGGGTGAGTTGACCTCTGGTATGTTTTTTGCATATTTCAATATAAACAAGGACAGAATGATGTCATGGTTATATAATGTAGGAATGTAGAGGGGCTAATCATATGGCAGTTCAGATGGTATTTTGGGATTGGCATTCCCAAGAATCTGAGTCATAAGGGGTGATGAGGGTGTGTTGGCTCTGGTTTGTTATTTTGCTAAATAACATTTAATAAGTAAGAAAGCTACTACGTTTTTGTGAATTTTGAAAATATATAGGCTAACTATTATGATTGTAATAATTTCCGATTTTACTTAGCTGTTTACAGTTACCCTAAGTTAATAATTTGTAAATATAACAGAAAAAAACGTAACATTCTCGGAAGTTTGGAACTGCTTCAGTAGGCCTAATACACTACTTTCTGATAAGAATAACATTCCAAAGTATTAAATATTTGCGAATTTTGAAAATAGATATAATTATAAAGGGTAATAATTACCGATTGTTAGCTGTTTACAGTTCATAATGTGTATATATAACACTAAAAACGTAAGGTTCGGCGGTTCGGAACTGCTTCAGTAGGCCTATGAAAACCATTTATCTCCTAATAAAATTGTTTCAAAGTATACATTTTTGTAATTTTTGGAAAATTTATAATTTTAACTTGTTATAAATTTTATAGCCATTTAACTTACAATTAATTTATAACTAAAATTATCCTACAAAAAATGTAACAACGCTCGGTAGTTTAAAACTAGCCTACTTCAGTGGGCCTAAAAAGACCATTTTCTGCTAAAAATATTCTTTTAAAGTACTCTACTTTTATAAAATTTGGCAAATATATGATTTTATTTATAACTAATATGGTTTATATAGGTATTTGCAATTAATAATAATTCAAAATCAGTAAATATATCATGAAAAACGTAACGATCCGAAATTAGGAAGTACCGCTGCCTAATTCCGAACATGCGTTCGGAACTTAGGCTTAGTGTACATTTCGCCATCCTAATTCCGAACGGCTAGAAAATTAATTTTAAAATAGTTTCTGGGTCTTTATTATGGCTTAAAATGACAGAAAAATATTTAAATTTGCATATTAACAACTGTACTTTATTACAAATTGGCCGGTATAGCTATTTAAAGCCTAAGAATCTCAACCACTTTCCTAAGGAAACAGACAAGAGATTTTAGAAATTTGCAAAAACTGTGTACAGCATTACCAATCACGGCTTACTGGATCTAGTGGCCAATGACGATCTACAAACCCATTTGTCTGCAGACAGATTAAAAGCCAACGAATGCTTTAATCTTAAGTAGGTGTTGATCAGATGAAGCATATGCTTATTATTTGAGACAAAACCCAGCGCGTTCGGTATTTGGCAGGTGTTCGGTATTTGGTATGTTTACCTTATTATATATAAAACATAAGGAACATTTTTTCAAAAAAAAATTTTTTAGGTAAAAAAAAATATAATTTTGAAAATTTTCAAAAAAAAAATAAGTTCGCGCTCAATGAAATTGTATAAATTATAGGCCTATAAATATTTGAAAATAGCCACTTTGTTCTAAATTTTATGAGGATTACAAATATATAATAATATAAGGAAGTAGATTTGCAAATAAATAAGTTATGGGCAAAAAACAGATTTCGGTACATAGCGTTTAGCTAAGAATGCACAGCCTAACCATAGCTATGAATCTGGCTGATAATTTACATCAATATCACTACCTACTTCTTCAGGATCATCAACCAGCACTTCAAAACCACTTAAATCTTCTTATAATGCAACACGTATATCACTACTTTTGATTTTTAACCTAAAACAATGATAAACGTAATAAAACACATCAGTCATCGGTCCGAGTAACCTAGCTGTTTACAAATACACGCACGTCAGCTGTCTGCTACAATTACGATCGCCTCAGAGAACGTACAGCGCTGAGACAGACCTCTGGAGAAAGCTTAGAATATTACAGAAAGAACGATACCTAACTCGATCCAGTTCAATCCGATTCAGTCAGTCATAGAGCCTTCGCCGTAAACGATGTCTGCGTGTCGAAAAATCGACAAGTAACACTACACAAAGTGTGCTGCTTGTCGAATTTTCGTCAAGTAACACTGGGAGGGTTAAAGCCCATAATTTTCCAAACAAAATGATATATTAACCAGTAAGTTTCTAAGATACATTTTAATAAAACCCTGCGATTGCGCAATAAATGGGCGAACATTAAGACCAAAACCATGGACACTTGGAGGGTTAAAGCCCAGCACAACTTAACACTAACTTAACTTAAGCTTTTTTTGGGTAAGTTACTTATTTAGAACCCATACCTTACTACACGGTGTATACCAACCGGGAGAACCAGGAAATAACCTTGAATCTGAAGAGACCTGGAAAAAGCCGGGATTTTTGGACCGATTCCATGATTTTTATTTTAGCCCCGGTAGAAGATTGTAGTCGTGAAATGCTCATGATTTTGCCGCGATTGCGACCTACGACGACGTTTCTGTGACCGCAGGAGACGACGATGACGTTTACGTAACCGCGGGATCAACGATAATGTATACACTGCCGAGGGAAATATTCATGATTTTGCCGAGATCGCGCACTACAAAGATGACGTTCCCGAGACCGTGGGAGTCAATGATGATGTCCACACGTCCGCGGAGGATTTTCATGATTTTGCCGCGATCGTGGATGACGATGATTACGTTTCTGTGATCGCGGGAGACGGCGATAATGTATACACACCGCGGGAGATGTCCAGGACTTTTCTATAATAACGTAAGACTGTGATGACGTTTACGTCACTGTCGGAAGCGACCACAAGACCGCAGGAAATTTTCAGGATTTTGCCGCCGTTGATAATATTTAATGTGTTCATAAATAATGAAGATAATATTTATGATTTTTCTGCTATCGAGAGAGACAATGTTTCCGTGGCCTTAAGTAATGATGATAATGAAAATTATTAATATAATAAGGATTATTACTTTTCAACACTAGCTCACTGGACTTTGAAACAAATTTGATGTAAGTTTTAATATTGTATACTTAAGCTGCAAGTCTTAAATTGATTATAGTTTAAGTGGAACCAAACAAATACGCGGGAACCTGGAAAAACTTGAAAAACCACCAGGAAAAAACCTGGAATTTCACTTTAATAAAATAGTATACACCCTGTACTACGTTAAGTTAGGCTAATTTTAAAGTTTTTGCACATTCAACCACGCAGCGCCATTAGCCACCAGCTTATCATCACGCAACCACACTTGTTAAAGGAAGAAGGCAATCACTTATCAGCTTGAGATGGATTTTATCTAAACCTACACATTTCTATTAGGTTAATTTTCAGCGTTCGGAGTCATTAATTACACAGTAGACTCTCTTATCCGGATATCTTTAACTGGACTAACTTGCACTCGGCGGAAATGGCATCTCTTTAACCGGACAATTTTTTATCAGCACATAAGTTAACCATATTAACATAATATGCACTCCTAAATTTAAGTCAAGTATTTGGTTTACTGTATACAGTATGCATTTAAAGGGTCTGTTTTAACGAGTTTTTGGAGACGTCGGTTTGACCGGAAAAACCCATTATCCGGACTGGCCTCGGTCCTGAGGAGTCCGGATAAACTTAACTCATGGCTTACTACATCTTTCCTTGGCGCAGGTTAACTTTTTAAACTCTAACTTAGCCTACTGTTTGGTATTAAGTTTGATCATAAGTCGGCTATTCACCAACTAAGCCTAAACAAAAAACTTTACCCTACCAAATCAAACCGACCTGCACATGCTTGTGATGGATCCTGAATTTCTATTAGGAACAAACTAATTTACCATTCATGCCTTTCCTGACACAAAGGATTTTGCTCTTATCAGTTTGGTTAGGATCAATCAGATTTGTGCCGATTTTGTAGGTGAGCCTATGCCAAAGAGAAAATGCCTAGAACGTGAGGTAGGCACTAAGTTAAGTAACTCAACACCGGCTACTGGAAGTCTGTGTAACTCAAATAGGGGGCACATCTAGGTGGCTTTGGCTTGCTAACTTAAGATAATGAGTTGTTGTGACTCTTCAAGCTTTTTTCAGAAAATTATGTTTTTATTGTTGTTTATAAATACTCATGTAGCCTAGTAAGTTAATAAATGTGTTTGTAAATCGTAACTTACAGTTAAATGTATTTGTTGTGTTTTTAATTTTTAGCCCATTAAAATTTCAATGTTGTGACTCAACCTCTGGGTCCACCAAGTGTTGAGTTACTTAGTGAGGTTTTACTGTAACTCGATAGGATAAAATATAATTTCTCCTAATTTATTGTAGTTGCTCTAGAAGCTAAAATTATTCATTTTGTAGATGTTTTTTTTAGTAGGCCTACCATATAAAGTTAACTTATTCGTGTTGAAATTAATTGAAAAATGTACTATGTTTCCATGTAGTCTTAAAAATGTACCAAATGCCAGTTCTCAAAATTATCCTGAAAATTTTAAATTCAAGAAATTAACTAGTCTAACTTAAACAAGATAAAGTTATGTTAGATAACTTGATATGGGAAGTTTATGATGATTGCTCTAGTCTCGTTCGTATGAAACAAATGATTTTGTAGCTATTCTGAAAACTTCCTTTTTTTTACAAACCTACAAAAACTTCAGAAGAACTTTTGAATTTTTTACCTTTTTATTGCCATCTTCATTGTAGCCTAACTTAGTTGTGACACGACCCCTTTTGATGTTAAACCAAGACTAGCAGCAAAGTCCCAGACTCAACTTAACGATTTAAGATGTTCTGCCAGTTGATCTTTTTATTATAGATTAATCCTTCTGAATTAACTTGGGTAGGCCTAAATATTTTAGAGCTAGCCCTAGTCCATATCTCCAATGATGAAAAAACTTTCAGAGCACTGGACGATGATTCCTCTGTGATTACCTTTGACAACCTGAGGAGATGCGACTTTGCTTGGATATGTTTATAAAACTTTAAAACCTTCTTGAGTGTAAGGCCTAATATGATTTTTCAAAAATATGGACAATAAGCATTGATTGATATCTGATTATTGTTTTTTCTAAGATTGGACAGTGTGTGTGCAGTTTGATCGTGAGCGTAGGTTAGTACTGTAAGCGTTTTGATGGTTTGAACACACATTATTGACATTACGTTCTTCTTCGCATGTGTTGCGCTGACTTACAGCCAATTCGGAGACATGTGTGTTAGTAATTTTGTGATGTAGGGAGGTAGGCCTAAAATAAGATGCTCGTTGAGTCGCCAGACAAGTTCAACCATTGGTTTAGGACCAATTTGACGGATGGACATTTTTTGCGTGGCACATTGCAATAAAAGGATGGTGTGGGATCAGTTTTGAGTTTCAAAACTTAGACTAAATTCTCTTAATTGGTAAAATAAGTTTTTTGTTTTTTTTACTTGAGTTTACATTTTTCAGACTTTAATCATTTTCAAACTAACTGAGCATAAACTTGATTTTGTATCTTAGTCTTTGCTCTTAAATGACAAAGGAATGAACCATATGATGACAAAACCTATTTTCCTGAAAACCTATGAGGGGAAATCAAGCTCAACAGGTCTGAAGGTTCTTCCATGATTAAGACAAAATCTTTAGTGCATAGTTTGTGTAAGTTGCGTCCTTAAGGGGAGTCGCTACTGAAACTAGTGATTTTTAATAAAATCCTTTTAAAAATTATCATATATACTTTTTTAAGTTCATTTAGTCTTAGAAAAAGATTTACTGCCGTTAAAGTAAAAAAAAAATTTTTTTACATATTTTGGAGTTTTTTAAGTTTTTTGGCGGGAAAAAATGGGGTTTTTTAAATCTCTTATAACTATTTAACTACTGAACCAATTTTATTGTTCGATATCTTATTTTAAAGAGCAAGGAAAGCACATACTTTCTGTGCATACTCATGTTATTTTCTCAATTAGTTTATAAGTTATGGCTTCAAAAATAAGTTTTTGAAAAATTTATAGGTTATAAATTTTTATAAATTTTTTTTCATGTACTTTTATTTACCCAATTACAATATCCATGCACAGAAAGTTGATTTATAGTATAAACAATGTGTGGTAAAAATTTCATTCATATAGCTGCAATAGTTAAAAAGTTATAAGAACTTATATATAAAAAAAAACAAAATTTTAAAGTCGCGGAAAACAGCGGTTGAAGTTTATACGTTGGTTTATACTAGGCCTAGTTGATGCCCTAAAAGAGGTGTGCGCGCTTCATTTCAAATATTTTTTTCACAGTGAAAAAAATATATATTATACCAAATGTTATGTTTTTCTGAAACCTTACAATCCATAGAACAAGATAAAAAAATAATAAAAAAAAATCAAGTTTTTTACAAAATTGGTAGTTTTTCAGTAGCGACTCCCCTTAAGTGTAGCTTACCCTACAGAATGGGTCACCGGAGTTTTATCCCCTGGGCAAAATTGATGTCATAGACAGCTAGCGTGATCTATTAGATTAGCAATAAAACCTGGAATTTTACCCTCTATATCCACTTAACTAGCAATTGGTTAACTGTGGATGTACGGCCCGGATTTTTACCCCCTGTACAGATTAAGAAATTAGTGTGATAATTGATTTTCTGATTTCAGTTTTTGATTGAATAGTAAAAACATTATAATATCCTTTTTTTAGTAGCCTATCATTTGTAATCTCAACTAAGTAAACATGTTTCGCTGTTTAATTTTTTTATTATAGTTCTGTGATTTGACTGTTGGGGCCAATTGATAGTCATGTAGGCCTACCTAAGTAAACTAACTGAGTAGCCCATTATTTGAATGATAATTGGTGAACATTTCTTAAACGAACATTTTCAACTGTGGAAAAATATTTGTTTTTAAGAAAATAAATTATTCCTACTTATTTCTATAGGTATCTGGTCAGGGGGTAAAGCCCTTGGACTCGTTAACCCTCCTCCCCTGCCATCCCTACAAGTGCGTTGTTAGTTAACTTTAGATTCTTCAACCCACTTAACAATTTTATAAATTAGCCACACAGAAAACAAATAATTGCGCTCTTCTTAGCATGTGTTGCGCTAACTTACAGCAAATTCGGAGATGTGCATGTGCTGCGAACAATGAAACTGGCAACCTGCGATATTTTAGGAAGGCATACAAACTAACTTATTCTTAGTCACATCCTGTGGAGATAAGCATCGCCGAGCCTGGAGGTGGAAATGCTGGGATTCCTAGAAAGTGGTGGTTAATCCGAACTGCTCTCAACGCATGGTCGGTTAATTCAAACAGTAATATTTTGTAGATAATCCGATTATCGGTTAGTGCAAGGTAGGTTGGGGTCTACTGTATTTGTATCAATATTAGCTATAAAATAATTCTATCTAACTAAAAGCCCTTCTTTAAAAATTCCTGTTGCACAGCCTTGGCGAGACCTTATTACAAGCAAGTATTTAATGTCAAATATTTTGTTTTAGGACATAGAAGAAGTCAATTGAGATCCGAAAACAATAAAGCAAGATCATGGAGGATCTGCTTGAAATTATTGTGTTCAAATCCTGTACAAAACAGTGACATATGAGATGATGTAAGTTACCTATTGTACGTTAAAAAAACTGCTTTAAATGGTTATGAGCAAGAATGTAGGCTTATAATAGGCTTAGTCAAATTTAGCCAAACAAGTAACAGCAATAGACTGCATCAGAACAATTTTTAAATACTATGCAATAAGATCTTGATTTAGTTGTCTTATCCAAACACTAACTTAAGCTTTCATTTAATTAAAACCTTTAAGGCTAAATTCATTTTAACCAAGAATATTCTTTCAGTCTTATACTTCTACAGTCTCATAAATTAGTTCAGAGATATGATGATACTATTTATTATGAAAATTCAATGATTAAGCAATCATATATAAGCCAAAAGGATTCTGATCTCTGAATGATAATTCTTTTATTAAAATAGTATTTTCTAGACAACTAATTTAAGACCATAGTTCTACAAATATAGACCCTGTCTTTGACTAATAGCTTAGTAAAATATGTTAAAGAATTTTTACTTTCTTAATTTGTCTCTGTGTAACTTGGAACACTGAAATAATTGTTAGGCTACAGTGAATTAGAAGGATCAAAGTTCATGTTTAATTAAGTCTCACTACACCCCACTCTATTAAGCCGGCTGTGAAGGATGGTACCTTTGTCAGTGGTTAAGACTGGGAACAGTAACGCTCTCAAAGTGTAAAGTGGCCGAGGTATCTTGGTAACTTAAGGGAAGAGAGCTACATTTGGTTCAAAACAGTGCAGTGTTACTTGTTTAGTCCTTCTGTTTTAATTTATTTAATTGTTACCAATAAACCAAAATGGTCAGCGTAACTTGTCTTTTGTTGGTAAAATTGTAAGGCAAACACATGATGATAATATATAAGTCATGCCAGACTGGAGTTTCTGATTCTAGTGATTATTTAAACTATCTGAAGTTTGCCATACTGTGTCAAAAGTTTAGGAGTTCATGAACATTCAAAGTACTGGTACACCATCTTTTGGGTTGATTTATTTTTCATAATTAGTTCAGTACGGTAATCTAAACATTTTAACCAATTTCACTTCCCCTACTAAAATTGTGTGTTTTCAACCCTAATGCGATAAAGCATCAGTGTCTAGAGTCTTTGTCATAAGGTTTAATCTTAGTTAGTAGTTGACATAGGCCTACTTGCCTTTTTGGTACAACGGGCAAACACGTGATGATACTACTAAGTCATGCCAGACTGGAGTTTCTGATCCTAGTGATTATTTCAACTATCTGAAGTTTGCATAACTCAAGAGTAGTGTATTTGTAGAAGGTGGTATAGTTTGGGTTATTAATGGAAGCCTATACTTAATATGTTCAGCACCAAAACCACAGATTTATAGGTTTTTTAAGAATGCAACTTTCTGATCCACCATTAAATAATAATAAACTACTAACAGTAGGAATTCTTCATTACCTTGAGAGTTAGTAGCTTAACACGTTCGCTACTGAGCGTCGCATATATGCGACGCCGTGGTCATTGCCACAGACCGAGGTATACATTTGAATCTTACACATAGACCGGCTGTCACTTGGATAATAGTACACACAAACCACGGGCGAAAACCTGTAAAACAGTGATCATTTACATTGTAATACGCTACAATCGTGTTTGTAAATAAATTATTCTTGTTTCTTTGTATTTTTTATAACCTTTTGTAATGTCGCATATTTGCGACGCCCGGTCTACAGCGAAGACAATAGTGAAAATTATCACAGTTTTCTTAAAATAGACTAAACGTCGCATATATGCGACAGTTCATTTTTTGTGTTTTAAGGTAAAAGTAAGTAAAAAATAAACAGATTATTCAAGAACAGTTTATAACTGAACAAATATAAAAACTACATAGGATAATGGAGCATACATACTGCATACATACATACAGTGATGCAGAAAAGTAAAGACCAGTTTTTCCAACTATTATATGACGTCACCAATCATCATATCCACAGACCAAGCGACGGAGTTGTGCGTCAGACATCTCTATAGACCACTGCAGGGAATTCAGTGCCTTCAAATAGACCACTACAAAGATATAAGCATTTTAATAACATTAGAACCCCGACGCAAATATGCGTCGGCAGTCTATTTTAATGTGACTAGCCGTCGCATATATGCGACAGCAGTCTATGGGTGGAAACCGGCCGTCGCATATGTGCGTCGCTAGTCCATGTGAATGGAAAATTTCGTACTATTGCAGTAGCGAACGTGTTAAATCCCAAACCATTGTCCCCACTGGAGTCATCGGCTCTTGCAGTGTGCAGAGTTTGGGTACATGATTGCACTCTTGTGTAAGGATACATGGAATGTTCCTATAACCTAAGGAAAGAGTGCAACATTGACAATAATGTATTCATACAGTAAATTAATGTAAATTGCTTTAAGTTGTGTCAAAAATTTGTTGTTTTTTTTTCAGTTTTGAGGTTTCGTACATAATTTTGAAGCTGCCTGACTGGACGTGGTATCAATTATGGTAAGTTTTATTCTGTTATTGTGTTTTAGCGAATTTCCCATATAGGGAATAAGCTATTACCGTAGTACTCATGGTAAGACCTGGACCCAGGACCGATTTTTTTTTTTTTTTCGTTTTGAGGTCCCTAGAGGCCAAAAACACCATCCGTTCAAATTCATATATATATGTGTCCGTTAGCGCGATAACTCGAGCAAAAATGATCCGATTTTGATGAAATTTGGTACAAACGTGTAAACCTACGTTTATTCGAACGAGTTCGCGAACCAGCATGATCGGACCATGGGAACGGGGGTTTATGGGGTAAAAATGGGTTTTTCCAATTTTTGACCCGAAAAACATAAAATTTTGCAATTTCTTTCCAAACTATTTTGTAGAGCTTAAAGAAAAAAAAAATTTTGTATATTGAAGCGTTATAATGCGCCTAATGGTTACGGAGAAAATTCCAAAAAATTGTTAATTTAAAATTCCCATGTTATTCTTATGGAGAATAAGTAAACTGTTGTAGTTTGCTTGTTTATTAACATATTTTGCCCAAATTTGGAAAATGTTTTGATTTCTTACTAACTATTACCATTTTACATAAAAAAACACTTACCCTCCCTGTTGCAGCAAACCTAAGTATGTGTTAAACTGATTCTATTTAAATAGGGAATAAATGTGATATTTTTAAGGAGACATTTTAGTGTAAATCCAATCAGGCAAATGGAAATTCGCTTAGTCTGCAGGTTTGCTGCGGCGGGGGTATTGTTAATTAGCTGTGAGTGAGAAAAGGGGTAAAAATGTTGTATTAATAGTTTGATTAGCTGCAAAAATAATTGTCTTTCTAAATATTTGTTTCTTATGGGTAGGGTTTCTATTATTTCAGATTTCTGTCACTTATTATATTTATTCCATGTTTAATTATTTAAAAGCAAACATTCAAATATGACCAATAATATGATGACTATACACCGCCCCAGACTGAATCTTGATGAGGTATGTTCTGATTGTGGTCTATATTTAAAAACCTTTTCTCTTAAAAACAAATTGTAGCCTTTTATAGTTTTATTGTGCCAGTTAAAAAACTTAACTTGGGTACCGGCTGCACTGTACATGAACCTCGTGAAAACTTTAATTTAAATATCGACGATATGATGATTTTATACCGCCCCAGACTGAATCTTGATGAGGTATATTCTGATTGTGTCTAGATTTGATAAACTTTTTCTCCCAAAAGGTTTTTGGGTTACTAATTGCAGCCTATTTTTTATTTGTGGTGCTAGTTAAACAACATTTCAGAACTTTCTGTCGCTTATTATATTTATTCCATGTAAGATTATTTAATAAGCTAACATTCAAGTATGAACAATAATATGATGAATATATACCGCCCCAGACTGAATCTTGATGAAGGTATATTCTGATTGTGTCTAGATTTGATAAACCTTTTCTCCCAAAAAGTTTTTGGGTTACTAATTGTGGCCTACTTTGATTTTTGTTCTTTGGTGCTAGTTAATATCATGTCAGAATTTTAGTTTAAATTAATTTTTCAGGCCGAAGTGGTGGAGCTACATCATGATAAAGAATATCATGCTCCAACCTTTTTGGGTAGGTTTTATCCTAATTTTTCACTTGTTAGTCAATATTTATATTCTCTAAAATTGTATTTCTGATTGCACATGGAGTCGATGATGAGTCATTTTTTAACCATCTTTCGGGGATGAGATTTCATGATTATGACTTAAATTACTGAGACTTGTAATCCAGTTCCATACAAATCAATCACCTTGTTCTTTTTTAAGCTTTTTGGCTATACAAACCATTATGTAACAGGTAACCTATTTGATGATTTTGTATGATGATAACTTTGGAATTACCGTTTGATCCAAGTGAAAAATATCCTATGGCTGCTTTTAATCTGACAAAGATCATCAATTGGTTGGCTGTATTTATAATTGGTGAAATGACTAAATTTCCTCTTTGAATCAAAATGTGGAGGTCGTACTTCTGACATATCCTATTTGATGATATTTAGTGATGATAACTTTGGAATTACCGTTTGATCCAAATGAAAAAATCCTATGGCTGCTTATATCTGAAAAATATCACTGTTTAAAAGTAGATTTATTGTTTTAAGTCCTACTGTTTTCTCTTCTTTCATATTCTAATATGAAAACTATTCAATTAGTTTACAACTAAAATGTTCAATTAGTACACATAGTTTTCACCAAGATTGCGTACATACATTTTTAGTTTGTTACATTTGATCTCATTGAATTTTTTTAGGATCTGGTATTACTGATATAGCAGCCCATCTTTCAAATAACTAATAAATAAATCCAATGATGATTTTAAATTGACAAGCATATGTCTGAATCAAACTGCAATGTCTAGTGATAGTCATTGTGGCTGTGATGTTGAATTTGTCTGATGGATTATTTTGTTGTTTTTCATTTTTTATTGAAAATGGTGTTGATATTAAGCAGATTGTTAACTTATCTAATTTTGCTTTACTAGCGATGTTGAGTTAAAGAGGAATGCTCCTGTTTTACCACATTTATTGATGAATATTTGTTCCAAATGAAGATAACATAGTTCAAATGAAACTAGTGATTAAGATTTATCTTTCGCCCCTATCTGATGGAACTTAATTTTCTCAAACAACTATTTTAATAATACTAGCTGCAACCTATAAATAGCTTAACCAAATTAAATATATCTTTGTTCGTCTACAGCCTTTTCAGATTTTAGCAATAACTTAATTATGTATTGAAGACATAGTTATTTCCTAATCATTTGGTTGGGCTGATAATAACTTATTTGATTAAGATAACTATACTATAAGTGGTGAAGCTTAACCAGTTATATCTGGTTCCATGTGATGATAACATAGTTCAAATGATATTCAATACATGATTATAATCTATCTTTCGCCCCTATCTGATGGAACTTGTGTTATTAACTATAACTTCTAAATCATTAATGCCAGATAACCTATTCTTTGTGTGATCTTTAAGACTGTGTGTGGTATTGGCCTAAAAAGTAATATCTTACATGAAACATTAGATTTGCTAGACAGATTAATATTATAGCCTATACCTATCTGAGAATTGTGCTTTAAAGGGGGTTTTCTTGCAGGTATGAAGATGTTCAGACTAAGAATGGATTCTCAAAATCAAAAGTAAGTGGTTTATATATATATATATATTTTCAGTCAGTTGATTTATCTTTGATTTTGGAGATAGGCTGATTTGCTAGCGATTCATACAGAGATTAAATTTGATCTTTATCAATTGCCCAGTCATGATGAATTGAAGGGTGTGTCAAAGCAAAGACTGCCACTAACATTTTGGAGCCAGAAATGGTGGAACCCACCGAAATGGGCAGGATTTGTGTGCTGAAACTTGCCTACCCGGTTGTCTGAACTGGTGGAAGATCCTATAGTAACTTTGTGAATTTTTTAATTTTCCCCCCTGTGTAGGGTAATCATTCCTAGTAGGCCTAATTCTTGAATTTTTCAAACTTTCTAAATTTTTTGTTTATTAAGATCATTTATTTTGTTCCTTTAGCTACTAATCGAGATTCAAGATGTAATGCACATCAGTCCAGAAGCTGGAAGGAAATGGCTACATGATCATCATGGGGGACCAGTGTGTCAAGGCCTATGCTTTCGTAAGGTTGGTAATTGAATTTACATTTTGTGATTTTATTAAATAATAGATGCTTACTTTCAGCCTAGCTAGATCGGGAATAAGACAATAAATTGTTATCGCAGAAGGTTATTGGGCTTGTAGTGTGTCGGGTGATAGGCGTGGGCCCATTCCTGAGAGCGCCGAAATTTAGAGGCTGATATTAAGATGGATGTAGAACCAATGTTAAAATGCTGGACCATTCCACTTGGTTTTCAAACCCCAATGGCTGAATTCTCTCTTGTAATCTCAGTGTCTGCCAGTCGTGCGGGAGGCAGGTTTAGGGTGTAGGCTGAATCATGTCCATTGGAGGATGTTTTATCCAATGGTGGACAGTTGTAGCTAGCCAGGGAGTCATCTCACTGGTATACAAGTTTGGCCAACATTGCAGCACTGTTTCATAGTACCATGTGTCGTGATCTAACCTCGTGGCCTCCCTTCAGTGCTACATACGATAACTATTATCAACCAGCTGATTCATAAACTTGTTGCTTCTAAATCTGTAGAGCTAAATAAAATAACATTAAAACCCTTAGGTGTGGGGCATTGTTTTCCATTTGTTAAACAATCTCATGTTAAGAAATTGTGTCTTTTTTTAAATTCACAAGTCAAAAGGGTGTGTTATTGTTACAAAACAAACATTTAAGAAGTAAAAAGAAGATTCAAGAAATTGCTTAACTATTTCCATAGAATGTAATACATTAAGGTAAAAAACAAGCCAAGATATTTGTCTAAATGTGCTATATGATGATTTTTTATTCAGAAAAACCATGATGATTAAAAAAATTATAACCCTTCTCCAACTGATAGCACATTTTGAAATGCTAGCATAGGCTATTTATATTTAAAACTGATTTGAGTTTTATGAACTATTCTTTTTATTACCTAGTCATAAGGTTGTCATACACCGATAGTTGACTCTTTTGAGTGCTTATTTACATTTAAGATGATGTTTGCTACATACTACCAAGATCTCTGATCATTGTGATTATAACTTGTAACTGATGAACCTCCACATTAAATTTTGGTATAGTACTAGGTCTAAACAATATGATGACAATAAATATCTGTGTTGCAGAACAAACCAGTGACCAGTTCGAACCGGAAACAAATAGAGGTATGTATCAATATTGGTCTTTTGGTTTTAGATTGAAAATTTAAACTAATGGCTTATTAAAACTCCAAATCTCAAGTTTGTGGTGATGATTTAATATATACGCTATGCAGACTTAACTGGTGATAGCTTGCCCTCTCTGAACAAACTTGAAAATTATCTGAAACTTAAAATTTACAAATCACTTTATAACATTAGTCCATAGATCCATAACTGCAGTACGTCTACATAAATTACTTGGTTGTTCCTGTTCATTGATCAAACAACTCCTAACAGTATTTGGGTAAAGACATATATTACGTCTTTTTGAAAATCCGTATTCCTCCATAAAAGCTGAATTTTAACTTTGTGTTTAGTTAGAGCTGAGCCCGAAACTCAAGGTTAAACCACAAATGATGATGAAAGTTATCCCTGTCAGAATCCAGTTGTTGATATCTGTAACTCCTGATGTGGTATTGAGAAACATTATGTAACTCGAGAAATTTAAATCAATTGTGTTTTTTACCCTGTTACCTCCATTCTGTAAAGAAGTACATTTAATAAGATAACTATTTATATATACCTAATCAGTTATTTCTAAACAGTGTTAGTTGGAAATTTGTTGGAAATTTACTTTCATGTTTTGGTGAGCTTAAAATTTAAACCTCTATTGGTTGTTCCAATGAAAGCGTATTCTAAACCACATAAAGATCGTTTTTGGTCTTTGTGTCAAAGTTTTACGCAATATAATTGTGTGAAATCCAAAGGTTTCAGATGTTTCTGTATTCCTATTTCACCTCACACACATTTCTTTCTGTCATTATCCATCGACTAGGGATCATTGAATGAATGTACACCTTCATTTTTATCTTGCTTCCGGCCACAAGAAATAGCAAAAAAAAACTAGTTTCCCAAGGATTTTAAATGTCGAGTTTTAAACTGTAAGTGTTGAATGATGTTAATGAGATTTCCGATGCCACAATGTGGACTATTGCACACCACTACCCATTATTCTGACGACACTTCCAAAACTAAGTAATTTAAAAAAGGTGGCCATGCATTCAGTATTTTATTTAAATTTATTGGGGGTTTTTGTTTAGTATCCACCCTTATGTAAATAAATATATAATAGTATCCTTTAAGAATTTAAATTGACTTTGGTTTGACTGTCTACTGAAAGTGTCATATGATGTTAACCAGATTTTCTGATGCCACAATGTGGACTATTGCACACCACTACCCATTATTCTGATGACACTTGAATTTACCTTCCCTATAAATTTATATTAATTTGTAATTTAAAATCAGTAGAACTGAGTATTATGATTTACCAGAGCAAATTGAGAATTTGTGATGGATAGTTTGAAAGATGGGCTTCTGCCTTGGAAAAATGTGTTGTACAGCCCTAGTTTATATCGGACACATTTTAAATGTAACTTATATCTTGGTAATATCTTGGCCCGTTCTCTTGTACTAAAACTTGTGTCGCCTCTATGCCAGTTTCTCAGCGATGATGTATATACCTTACATTATTCTATCCCTGATGTATTTTGATGACAGAAACAGCTGAGCTGGAAACTTGGGTTCATCAATCCAATATTTCGAATATTTTGCTTTTGACAGGGGATACTCTAATCTTCTTTCTCTGTTTTGACGGGTTTTTTAGTGATTGTTTCTTAGCGATGATGCAATTAATATACGCTATGATTGGCAATGATTTCAATCCTTACCTACACTGAGCTAAGAAACAAGTCACTTTAAATGTTAATGGCTTTCCAAAACTTAGTATAATGATACTTAATTTGGTTTTTTCTGTTTCAGGCAAGAGCTAAGAAGTCACAAGAGATCTGTTGGGATCTAGATACTTTCCAAGTGTTAACCATCATTGTTATATACATGCTTAAAAATAATAAAAAAACTGTCATGAATCTTTGTTGTTCTTAGAGTTGTTAGGATACCCTTTCTTATTAATATACAGTGATGGCTGACTTTTAGCACAATTTTAATTAATGAGTAAGATTATTTAAACAAAATTTTTATGACTGATATATTTGGTATTGTTTGGATGGAAATAGTCGGATTTATGAAGTAGTAGCTGATGAAATGCTCCCTCCTGTCCAAAGGTATCTAAGTAGGGAGTACTATTCCCTTGATCCTTTAGGAGGATCAATTATTCTGAAAATATGAGTGGCAGTATTATATAGCCTAATATCATTGACTTGACACAGAATATACTTCCAATGTAATGCAAACATTTGAAGCTGAGAAAAAAGATTTAATTGCAGTAAAACCTCACCAGAGGGTACTAGTGTATTGAGTTAAATATTATTTATTTAAGCCAGGATTAGAGCTAGAAACTTGAAATCTCGCACAGCACTGCTCAATAGTATACTGTATTTTGTTGTGTAGGTTGGTAGTAAATTTCCCCGTAAAATCCCCGTCTGGCAATCTCAAAATTCTACTATTGTCCCGTCTTTTTCCCTCCATTTGGCAATACAATTCCAATGGGACCGGCTACATTACAAGCAGTGCTGCTATCTGTTGGTGTTAAGGCTGTGGTACACCCCTGCCACTCCGTGGAAATGCAGAGCTTTCGTTTTACACTGATTGCATACGCTGTATATAAGTTAAGAACAAACTTAAGGTCTCGTTTGAAAGCTTAACAGTTTATCTACCTTTCCTTGTTTTTAGAATTTCTTAAAATTACTAAGGGAAGTATAAAAGACGTATCAAATTGCATGGAAATTGGTACTTTTCAAAGTAGAATTAGAGGTGCAAAAAAAATTTTTGTTTAATTTTTAAAACTAGAGAAAGGTAGATTCAAGTGTGCCCTGCAATAATAAGTTTAGTTAATTTTAATAACCCAATAAAAAAAAGCATTACGAGTGTAAAACCAACCGTCTGCAACCCAAAATTTTGCTGCCGTTTGGTGGTGCTCGTAGCGGCCAGACAGCGTAACTCTTGCGGCGCGCCCCACCCCTGCCTTTCCGTTTCCCCTCCACTGGTGAGGACACACGTGGTTGAATTTTAAGCTTTGACATTTCGATACAGCTGTGTTTGCGAATTGTTGGAAATCATGTTTATGTTATAACTAGCAACAGAGCCCGTTGTGGTTACAACGGTCTCTAGTAAAATAATGGTTGTGAAATCCATACACCACTTTACTCACTAATATTAATGGTACAGATTAAGCACATAACATTAGAATCGCATACTTAACAAAAGGAACTCACTTTAAACACAAATGCAAATTGTTAACACCATTTAATCAAAGAAAAATCAATTGAATAATAATATAACAATAAGCTGTTAAATTATTAACACATGTTTTTTTCCGAGTCGGGTTAAAGGTCTTATACCCGACCGATTTTCATGATTTTGGCTTTAAACTAAAGTTATGGACGCACCACAGATTTAGTCCTACCTAAAGCAAACTGCTGAATCATGAATCAACAATATTTATAATCGTTTTAGTACTTATCTGCAATCAATGATACTTAACTCAAATGTTATTTAAGTTATTTTATGTGTCTTGGACATAAAATACTTTAAAGGCTTTCACTTGAGATATTAATAGTTTTAATCAGTTAAGTTAAAGATATACTGTATCGCTCAATCAGAAAACATAAATTGAATTATATCTTGGATATGGAATTTAGTTTTAGATATATTTACTCAATTCTAATTACGTTATTCTATTTGTTTTGACCTAAGAACCTTCAGTGAAATACCAGCTTCCATTTGCATTATCGATTATTAAGATCGGATGTACCTAAAGCACACTGCTAAATCACGAACAACCCAAATTGTTTTAAAAATGGAATTATTTATCATCGATTTATAGTCAAACGGTCTTGCTTGCAACCTCAACAGTAACTGTCATTAGACGGGTTTTACCTAGTACCCTAAATCTTTATAAAATCTAACTTTCATAATTATTTGCAAATCTACACGAATTAGGCTTTCCAATGACCTATTAATTAATAAAATCGGTTTAGTAGAACTGTATATTTAATTGTACAAAGTTGAACAACAAAATCTTTAGTTCAGTATTTTCTCACCATTATAAATTTGGAGGTTGCTTAACATTTTTTCAAATAACTTTGAAATGGTGAGGAAATCGACTAAAGTGGAAGGTAATATTCTGAAAGAGAATAAAATTTCCTTCAAATTGATACTATATACTTCTTGGAAACACTCAAGAAAGGCAGACAAAAGTCTCACTCAAATAAAAAGTGTGAAAAACGCCGTTTTCAATGTATTTCTTATGTAAAACAAGTTTTTTTTAAAATTTTTCACCATAAATCATAACAAAAACAAACTTTCATAATTATTTGCAAATCTACACGCATTAAGCTTTCCAACGACCCATTAATTAATAAAATCGGTCCAGCAGAACTCTGGAAATTTAGTTGTACAAAGATTTTTAAAACTGAATTATTTAAAGAATAGATTTTATTTTGTAAGTTGTTACGATTCCACCAACATGCAAAAATAAAGGACTCTACCTCTCTTCAAAACGGAAGAAGAATGACGGAAACGAACAATAAACACACAAACTTTCACATTTATAATATTTGTAAGATAATAATCGAGTTAAGAAAGTAGAAAAAGATCAACTATGAGCGTACCACTACACGTATAATGGTTCTAATTCGGTAACGATTCGCTCAAAACTGAAACCAAATTCAAATCAAATCAAAATTTCTTTGATGACTGACTAGTCTTCAAAGTATGACTAACTAGGCCGAGGGTTTGCTACCTATGCACACCACCATCAGCTCCAGGACGATGGCTAGCGACAGCGACGGTAGTCCACTATGGAGCGGTGGAGCTGAATGATCAGCTGTTGCGAGACTGGGGTGAAACACCCCTCGCACCATTGGACGCGCCCGCGAAGGCCGCACGATAGCAGAGCTTTCTGCTGTACTATAGTGGTACTGTAGCAAAACGCGAGTGCCGATAACATCCATAACATATAACATATAACATCCATCACCGGCACACGTGCTGTCGTACTCAGTCTCAGTCTCATTCTGTTATAATATCCTAGATTGATGTTTCACTCGTTTGTATTGTAGGTTCTATTATCTAGAAAATACACGTGCATTTAGGGGTTATTGTACATATAGGGTACATATAGGGGCTATTGACCCTACAAGCCACTAGTGAAGGTAATGTAATGTGTGATTTTTTCTAGCTGTCACCGGATAAGTTTACATTAAATGTTGTTTACAAAAACTGCAACCATTTTCGAACGCGGTTTTGTAAGAAAATCCAAAACCAAGTGGGACTAAAAATTGTGTGCCTCACATAAAGCGGCCTACACACTACATGTGCGTTGCACGCCGTGCGATTTTTTTTTTTTGGCACGCCGTGCTCGGCTCGGCACGTTATTGCCCACACACTTGATCTTCGTAGCCTGAATAAATTGCATCGTCTTTTCGTACAAATTAAATGCAGAACACACTGACACGTGGCATGTTTTAAGGACATAATTAGTTGATAAAAAATAGAAACTAGACAGCACTAAGCCGCCTTAGGTTGGTCCAGACCTTGCACCTCACTGCCGTACAGATATATACCGGCAGGGCACTTGGTTCCCAATACCGTGTTGGGAGATGTATGTTCTATAATATATATTACAGTATATGGAGATCTATGACTGCGTCTAGGGTTTGCTATTTGAGAAAAATGAGTCACCCCCTACCCTGTTAGAGGGGTTACAAAATATTTTTGATGTAAAAAATTGCGAAACCTTTGTTAACAATTATTACCACAAACAAAATATGTCTATCTATTTCTGTTTTAAAAATACAGATTTGTTTCAATACTTAATTTACACACTGTATAATAAATCGATACCGTAGTTATACATATACAGGGTTAGTAAAAAGTGTGGAGACCCCCTGTTATTTTTTTTACGGGCCATACTAGAAAAACGAAACTCGGCACACCTTTATGGCATGATATGAAGAATTTTTTGGGCATAACCGCCACATAGTGTACATCCCCAAAATGGGGGATTTTGAGGGAAACTCAAACATTTTAAATGATAAGCACCATCGAGTGACCCCTTATTTTGAAGGTCCTGGTAAAAGAAAACTAACAACGCAACCTAGAGGTTTCCATCTCAATCCAGTAAAAAATGGAAGCTGATTGAAATCTTTAGAAATCAGAAATAACTTGCAATTTTATATTAAATTGGCTGCCATATTTTACCGTGTTAAGATAGAGACCTCTAGTTTGCGTTGTTAGTTTTCTTTTATTATGACCTTCAAAATGAGGGGTCACTTGACGGGGGCTTATCTTTAAAATGTTTGAGTTTCCCCCAAAATCCTCCATTTTGGGTTAGGGAACCAAGTAGCTATTAGGCTTAAAAAGTACTTCATGACATGCTAAAAGGTGTGTAGAGTTTAGTTTTCCAAGTGTGAGCCGTTACAAAATTTACAGGGGGTCTCCAGACTTGGAAAGCTGTAAGTTAAATTTAACTACTGAGAATTTCAATTGGCTACCATTTTTTACTGGATTGAGATAGAGACCTCTAGTTTGCATTGTTGATTTTCTTTTACCAGGAACTTCAAAATGAGGGGTCACTCGATGGGTCTTTCCATTTTAAATTTTTGAGCTTCTACAAAATCCCCCATTTTGGGGATGTACACCAAGTGGCGGTTATGCCCAAAAAGTACTTCATAACATGCCATAAAGGTGTGCCGAGTTTAGTTTTTCTAGTATGGGCCGTTAAACAAATAACAGGGGGTCTCCACACTTTTTACTAACCCTGTACATTAAATCTTACTTGTACATAGATATTTATTTATCCATTAACTTTCAAGGGAGGGTAAATAAAATTTGTGGTAAAATCAGCAAGCTTAAAACTTAAATGGAAGATATTAAGCTATAATATTTGAGTTTTCATAGGTGCTGTAAGCACAATTAATTGTCAGTGGTCAGTGTGAGTAGCCAGCGGTTGCAGTGGCAGAGTTGAGCGCAGCGATAAGCGAGCATTTGTTGTTGTGTACCGTGGCTGGCTCGACTCGAACCAGTACCAGTCCAACCCAGACACTAACTAATCCCCTCCATGGAGGCGGTGTCCCTTCCCCTCACGCGCCTGGCCGAGGAGCGCGCCAAGCGGCAGTCGGTCGAACTGTAATGCGATTTTGCTGCTCAGGTAGACCGGACCCTTAAGCGAACTACGTGGACTCTCGTTGTAAAGCAGGACATCCTCGCACGTTATTTGCTATTTGTCAGACCGAAATTGGAAAGCCAATCACACGCGGCAATCGGGTTTGTTCGATGCTGAGGGCTGCGCCGCACCTGGGATACGCCCGCCATTTGACGTGCCGCCGCGAACGTGTTAAAGGAAGTTTTAAATTATTGAAAACATAGAATAGAACCATTTAGAACCAACAAAATTGGCTTCAGCTGTTCCATAAGGATGATAAATCAGACCATCTGATCGGATTGCACTAGGTTGTCTGCAATATTTACAGTACATAGAAGCATGGTGGGATGAAAAACAGGTGTGCTATTCCCGTCAAAAGCTGACGTTACTCAGATTACAAACAAAAAACCACCTGATTGTATTGCCATATAAAGAATATTTCATTTGATTGTTATTGTTTTCATAAATTTTTTAAAATGGTGAAATGGAGTTTGCAATCTGGGTGACGTCAGCTTATGACGGTAATAGCACACCTATGTTTTCCTTCCACCATGACATAGAAGTCTATGGCTATTTCAACTTAAAGAATGCGATTTAAGCACTTGTAATTGCATATTAATATACATTGCACGCTTGAGAGAAGTTGCTACTGAAAATAACAAATCTTGTAAAAAGCTTTATTAATTTTTTTTTTTTCATTGGTATAAAGGGTTTCAGAAAAACACTGAGTTCGTCACATCTACAAAAATCAATTAGCGGTACTAATTAGGGTTGACAGTCTGCCTGCCCCGCCAGGTATATCATGCATGCCTCCTCTACCCAAACGGGAACAATAGCTACTAGTCACAAGAGAACGGTCAAATACCATCCTGAATCTTAAGCTCTATGTTTACTGATGTTGGTTCCTCATGTAGCTGAAAATTATGAACTAACTTGTGCTGTATTAATGGCAAAATTTAAGTCAAACTATTATTACCATTGACTATTGAATACTGAAGTAGATGTCCCATCTATATGGACCAGCTGTAGCCAATTTTATTTCTTAAAAAAAGAACATAGTTTTGTGAGCCAGTCGCAGAACGTACTAGTGACTATAAAATTTTTTTTCTACCTTTTTTTGTTGTTGGGACATAACAGTAAGTTGCTAAAGATCACAAAGTCCCCCTAAATTGCCGATGTGGGGTTGTCTCATCCCGTCCGTCTGTGCTGTGCTGTGCTAGTGCGCGGGTAGTGTTACATGGTGTGAAAGTGGTTTATCTTAATTTTGCCCCTGCCCTGCGGCCTGATCATGCAGGTTAGCAAACTTGTTTAGATAACTATAAAGTACAAAATGTCATCTAAATCTGCTTGTTTGCTTGAGTTGTGCTAGCGGACACATATACATAAAATGAATCTGATTGGATGGTGTTTTTTTGTCTCTTAATTGGGACATTAAAATTAGCCAGCTAAGCGGGGCTTGGTCTAAGTCTTACCATGAGACCTATGGTAAAAATAACTAGTTATTCCCTATATGAAAAATTTGCTTTTAAAATATATTAATACACAACCTTGCTCCTATTGCACAGAGGAATGCCTCTAGGGTGCGTTGTAGTATGTGATGGCGAGTGGGGTTTGGAGAAGCGCTGGACCTTCATTTTGTCAGTGAGACACCACCAACTAGTGCTACTACACCACTGGTGTTTGCTCTGTAAGTTTCCGCCTTATAAATAATGGAATGTCCTCACTCATTAAAGAGGGCTTATACAAGGGTCTACTATCCTATACTGGTATCAGAATTGGTGATAGTCGAAAATTGGTTTTTGGAAGATCAAGGTCAACCGAAAAAACTCTATTTCGTAATTTCTTTAACATATTCAATTATATACTCCTTACACTCGTCTTGACAAGCACTATCGTTTATATAGGTTCCGGAAAGAATTTGGCGATAGTCGAAAATTGGTTTTTGGGTGATCAAGGTCCACCAAAAAAACTCTTATTTCGTAATTGTCGTAATATATGCAATTATATAATCGTTACACTCGTCTTTAGGGGCACTATGGATTGTATAGGGTCCGGAAAGAATTAGGTGATATTTAGAAATGATGTAATAGCCACACAAACCAGACCAGGTAACCCATGGGACTGCTAAGAAGGGAATTATTTTTCTCTTTTCCTCTCTGAGACTTTTATCTGATACCACTTTATTAGGCTTAAACACCAAGTATAGTTAGTGGTATAGTCTGTAAAAAAATAATAACTTGCAAAACAAAATGAGTCGTAAAGAGTAGTTTTTAGACACAGTTATATAGAATACAGTATTTTGAAAATGGCTTTAAAGAGTAACCAAACAACTTTATAATAGCAAAATTTCTGGGGGAGGATCCCCAAACCCCCCTTCCGGTGTGGGACAACCCCTGACAAGCAACCGCCACTGTATAATAAACAATCTCAGTAATTTGACACATACTCTCTCCCATTAGCTTGTCTGGTCGTCATTTCAGATTATAGTATACAGTATAAAAAGCAGGAGTGTAGTATAAGAGCTTCGCTCGCTCCGCTCAATAACCCTTAATATTGGTTAGAGGTGGGAGTGACTTTGAAATTTATGGGGAAAATCACAAAAGTCACAATTTGTACAGCATTAGGGATTTACCATTATATTGTCTACAGTTAATGACCATAACATTTCAATCAAAATCCTTTTTTTGTTATTTTATGGGAAAATCACCATTACAAATCAAAATTTCCAAACAAAACAAAAAAATATTCTATCGACCCACTACCCACATATCAAGCTCTGTTCACATCCATACATCACTTTAAAAAAACTGATTTTTTGGGCCCAGTTCAGGGACAAAAAACTTAATACTGTATACAGTATTTGCAACCAACCTTTTGATATAGATGTGCTGAAAAAAAAAAACACAAAATTAGTGCTATGGTTGTTAAGTTAACCAATTTTGTGTTGCATAAGAACATGAAGTTACAATTCCACAAGATGGTCTGTGTAATTTTAAGGATTGAATTGTCAGATCATGTCATTTGGTGTTGATTGGACTTGGATTATTCTACCTCTGATGCATGCCTTGAAGCAAGGTTGCAGAAACCTTCAGTTCTGTTGTACCGGTACTCATTACTTGCCTGATATGCCTCATTTACTCAACAAACCATCCAATTAGTAGTATTACAGATTGTTGTCTCCCGTTTTTTTCAACCTTAATTTTGCTATGCAAACCAATAACTATCAAATTTAATTTGTGAATATCTCAATCCTTAAAAATTTAATCTGTTTGTGTCATTGCTCTGCCATAATATGTGTTTTAGTACCTGGGATCAGATAATGCACTTCAAATCCACATTTTAACGTCTGAAGTTCTTCCTCTAGAAGTATATTTTCTTGTGTTTATAAAAAATTACTAACATGATTATCATATCATATGATTTATTATAGCAACAGCGAAAAAATATTGACATTCAAATACAAATTTTGAAAGAAAATATGGTCTCACAATACAACAGTACCATGGTGGAAGGAAAATACATAGGTGTGCTATTCCCATCATGTTTCACTCGGATTGCAAACAAAAGATCACCTGATTGAAACTGTCAAATCAGTATATGTATTTGTTTTGATTTGGCTGTAATTGTTTGTATAATGTGTGTTTATAAAAAAAACAATGACAATTAAATCAAAACAAATACATACTAATTTGACAGTTACAATCAGATGATCTTTTGTTTGCAATCCAAGTGACGTCAGAATATGACGGGAATAGTACACCTATGTATTTTCCTTCCACCATGACACAGTACAGATACACATACATACAGATACATCACTACAGATAATAAGTAATACCAGGTAGTAGTGATAAAACAAATGATCAATAAGGACAACATTTTGTGTTCCCTTCAAAATAAACCCATTGTCTGAGCATGTTATTTGTCAGTTACTTTGCTTCTAGCACTTTAGTTGTTTAGGTGTTGTGTGTCTCTTCATAAATTCCATGTTAATAATATATATTTTTAATTCGGCAAAATAAAATATAATTTAATCATTCAATTAAACAATTTGTATTCTTAAAAAAAAATTGTCCTTGCATCAAAAGTAGTACATAATTGTGTACCTGTATATGAGCTCATATTCCAAGGAGTAGCAAGTGCGTACATGAGCTTGGACATGATTGTAATGAAATTAATGGTTCGTGGTATTCCCACACCAACAGACCTCATCCTGCCATTATTTCCTAGCTGTAATTGGACTGAGGTGTTTTTCATAATCATACTTCATGCAGGCTTATATAAGTGTAATTTGTTTGTATAAATAAAACCAAACAGGTCTTGGATGATTATAGAGGCAGTTCTTCTGTTTTCCTTCATTCACAGTCCGACACAACCCTGCGAACCATGAAGCTGGTGAGTACACAAGATTTATAGTGCTAAGATTATTTCATTTCCTTATCTTGTAATAAGAAATACGTGTAATGACTATAAGTGTATATTCTTTTTTTATTTTTTTACTAAGTTTTCTATATGTTAAAATTTATGAAAATATAAATAATCATTTACAGGTACAGAAACTATTTTTTATTTTAAAAAAATTGACTTTTTAAGTTTGTATTTTATTCAACAGTAGTTTCATCAATTATTAAAGTCTGAATCAAGACTACTAAATCCGATTCTACACCAAAATAGGGTATACAAAATTTTTAGTAATCAAAAGTTTTAAACAATCTAAAAAACTTTATAGTTTTGTGATAAAAATATTTTTGATAGTTTTTAGTGTTTTCAGTCAAATCTTTTTACACTTCGTTTCAAATCATCATTCGTTCAAATCTTTATACAGGGCGCTCAAAAAGGTGGGGAAACAATTTATGTAGTGATTCCTTGGATCAAAATAAAGAGAAAATCAAGAATAACATTTTTTTCCAAAATTTGCTTTGTTAACCAGATATCTGCCTTTTTTACATAAACATTTTTATCTTTAAATTTTTCAACCAATCTTTATGAAACTTTGTATGTAGAGGCCACCCATGTTAGACAAAAATTCAACCCATCTTGATTTAACTTAAAATTTCAAAATGGCGGCCCTTTTAATTTTTTAAACTAAAATGGCTCAAAAACGACTGATTGTATGAAAAAATGTCATTTTACACTTTTATTTAGCATTTTTAATTCCCTATCAAACGGTACTAAGTGGGGCAAACCAGACTATCTTAGCCTTATTCTATACCCAATTTTACAAATAAAAATCGTAATCTTTCAGCTATTTCTTATTCGATCTTTTTGAACTTGGTACCGTTTGATAGGGAATAAAAAAATGACTAATAAAAGTCGCGTACATGACATTTTTCCATAAAATCAGCTTTTTTTGTGTAATTTAAGTTTAAAAAAATTAAATGGCCGCAATTTTGAAATTTTACGTTGAATCAAGATGATTTTTTTCTAACATGGGCCTCTTCTACCTTAACTTTATTATACTTTAACCTTCAACCTTATTATACATACCAAGAAGTTTCATAAAGATCGGTTGAAAAAATTCAAAGATAAAAATGATTATGTAAAAAATACAAAATGGCAGATATCTGGTTAACGAAGTGATTTTGGAAAAAAATGTATTCTGGATTTTCTCTTTATTTTGACCCAAGGAATCATTAAGTAAATTATGTCCCCACCTTTTTTGAGCACCCTGTATATGTATAGGCTACTGTGTGTGTGCATATATTATATACGTCTGAGGAAGTGGTAACTCAGGTAATTTTGGTCCGATTTTGGTGAAACTTGGCTTGAAGACTGGATAAACAGAATGAGTTCCTGAACCAGCATGATTGAACCATGTGAACGGGTTGGGTTGATGGGGGGTTTATGGGGTAAAAATTTGTTTTTCTCAAAAAAAATTTTGATAACTCTAGAACCGTATTTTTTACAGCAATTTGGGTTGTATTCTGTTTGGAATTATAAAAACCAAAAATTTAAACTTCAACAAAAATTGGTGAAACTTTCTATAATCCAATTTTTTAAATTTTATGGCTAAAGGAAAATCACATAAGTTACAATTACTTTTGAACGGTAATTTATACTAATTGGTATACTATAACTGTGTCCAAAAATCACCGTAATGTTTTTTAAGACAAAATGTATGTTTAAATTTATTTTCCAAGGTCAGAAACTGGACCCATTCCTAATGGCTGTTTAATAAATGGTACTGGCTAAATACACAGTCTGAAGTAGTAGGTAAAAATTTACATAGATCATCAACTCACACTATTCACCCCTCATTCCATACAGGTAAAAAACTACACCAATTAATGTGTGTGTGATGTCAAAGAATTGAATTGAACTGGACCTTTGCGATCATTAGGCTGAGACCTTCTGCCTATCTGTATTCTGTAATTTATAATGTTTTATCCCGTGTTCAAATAAATGGTCCTATTGTCCCATTTTAAGGAACAGCTTATCATGCACAGTATTAAAGCAACAAAGCTACACAGGGCATCTGACTCTATTTTATTTACAAACATCCTTCATTTTGAAAAAATGTAAAAAATGTCAGTTAAATCCAGTTCTAATTTAATTGATTGGCAATAATAATTTCTCCAATTTCAGTTTAAATATATCTTAGATTTTATTTCCACCTCTCTTATCCTTCCTACAACATGCCGCAACACGTTAATCTCTTAAGCAAAACTAATCTTGAAAGCACAAAAAATGCGTCGAATAACACTTCTAATAATATATTTACACTTTATACTGTTTACTCTCAAGACAGTTATTCACCTATTGGGTCTGATGATGATTAGGGTCCAATCAAAATCGATTACTATCTTTTATATGTATTTACCGTCTTGTGAGTAGGCTAAACAGTATAAGTGTAAATATATTATTACAAGTGTCATTTTAGATATTTTTTGTGCTTTCAGGTAATTTAATAACAGGTACGATGTTGGTAAAGAAGTAGTTTAGCAAAACTAATGAGAATTGTATGTTCCAGGTGATCCTGTCTCTAGTTGCGCTATTGGTCATCGAGACACTAGCGGCCCCTCAGGACGAGGTTGTACCCGCGGTGGAGGTGGAGAGTGGCAGTGAAGGAGTTTCTGAGCTAGACGATTTATCAGATCTCACAACAGTTCTACCTGTAGAGGAGGACTCCTCGACTCCAGCAGACGAAGTAGTACCTGAAGAACTTGTGGCTAAATGATTAAATCGATTGTTTGTGTATTATTGTAAATTGTATTTATTTTTACACCATAGGCTTTTGCTGATTGTTTAATAATTCCGGATTGATATCAAGAATATGATGTGCATGAGCCATTGGCTTTTAGATACATAGAATCCCATAGATAGTAGATAATAGAAATCCCATTTATATGGACTAATTGTAGCAAATTTGTTATTCAAATCTATTATAATACTGTAGTTGAATGAGCCTCTTAAAATAGTAATCTAATGTCAAAATTATGTTTTCCTTACTGTGATGGTTTACAATGAGTTGGTTTACAATGGTTTACAATGAGTACACTGAAATCACTAATTTTGATATCAGCACATTCTGTCTGTAGCTCAAATTCAACTCTATTTAATTTTTTGGTAACACTTCGAAATTGGGATGGGATGTTTTAAAGCTGATAAGGTGGTCCTGATTCTAGACTGACCATAGCCATAGCACAATCTTATCAAGGTTTTCAGGACTCTCTCATTGGCTGACACACATGTTTTTGATCTCAGATCTACACAACATACACTGTTATTTTCAATTCTAAATACGACTAGCAAAAGATTTGTTAGGTGGTCCTTCGTCTTTCGACTGCAGAGGCTTGTCTCCAGATCCTTTTTTCCTGTATCGTTTTTCAATGTAGGTTCAGGTTCTCCACGCTGGATTCTTCCTATCCACTCGGTCTCTCAGTCCTCTACTACTTCTGTCTTTGGAGCTCTGGGCGGCTCAATCACTGTGTCCGTACACGTCTTCTTTCCTTGATGCTCCCAGACGAAGACTAGCTCTCGATATCAATGTCTTATATATAGTTGTGGAGTTCTACATCTCCCTCTTGTCATATTCATATCCATATCGTCCCAGCTCCCAGGAGTCCAAAACGGATACTGGGGCACAGCATGCGCCATGCCTACCAACTGCACCGGGCTCAACACCCTCTTGGGTGATGATGTAATGATTTGTTTTTTTTTTTTTGTACGTTGAGTTAATACTTCAATATGACTACATCGTAAAAGGCATAAAGGCCTTCTAATAACGTTAATTCACCAAAAGAGAAATTTGATCACTTATTTTTTTAATGAAAGTAATTACCGGTATCAATTTATAATCAATAAACCTACATACATGTATATGACATGATATAACATGATCAATAAAATCATTAAACATAGGTGGGTGATAATTTTATTAAAAAAGAAGAGATGTGATGTAGTTTTAAATGGTATCACGGACTATAGACCATTAATTGGTTCTATAGTCTGTGATGGTAAATAGGCACAGATAATATATTATGTTGCGGATATAAAAAAAATAAAAACACTGTTTCAGAAAGATGTACGCTACACAAATAACATCATTATTTACATATAAAAGATCATATTTGTTTAAACAAAGTATAATACAAATAAATAAACAAACATGGGAATGAATTGTCTAGGTCTAACAAAAATCAAAGATTTCTGCAAAATTGTGGTTAAAAATTTAGTTTCTTGATGAAAAAAGTGTTGACATTTGAGATTCCCCAAGAAAACGCCTGCAGTTAAAAGACACCATCACTGCAACGTCTATGTATGGTAGTCACATTTCTTAAAATGAAGGAGTGCAAAAATATTACAAGTGCTATCAAGGTTTAACCATAGTTACTAAACCCGTTTTTTTATGTATTTCTGCAATATAACCAGGATACTTACGTAATATTTCGTATTGAAATATTAATTGCAATGCTTCTTAATACTTCTAAAATAAATGTTTTCAAGTATATACTAACTGTCATGTTAAAAATTTGTAATAGATAGTTTTCCTTCCTACTTATTCCCTACATTTGGAAAATGAGGAACTTTAAAGTAATGCATTTATATTAACTTTATTCTGATTTGAAAGTAAAAATCAAACAAGTTATGTAAAACAATTCTCAAAAGTATTTTATTTTTATAAGTAAGTATCTCTTCAGTCATAATTTTCACTTTTGTTTGGGCATTTTTCACTTTAAGTTCTTAATACGAATCGTAAGCATTTTAAAAGCAAAGTTTTGTTGTTTACGGGAAACTCCCGGTTTTCCAATTTTACCCCGATTTTCTACAAGGGGGGGGGTACTATGTATAGGAGGAGAAAATAAAATTTGATTTATTGGGATGGGCGAAAAATATATGTTGCAGAGAAACCCAACATTCAATCTGTATTGTATAAAGCAAATAGATTATCCAAATCGATTAGCTATGTAGACAGAAATATTATAGCTCTATCTCTTTCATATGAAGGGAGTATTGTTTTTATTATGTGCTTCCTGTTAAGACTAAAAATTTCTATTACACAACAGTACGTTTGTAAACTGTTTGACCACGGTTATTGTAACAAAAGATTGAAGAACAAACTAAAATTAACGTTAAATAAGGTAAAACATTAAGTAGACACCAGTGCGCTCAAGAACAACCACACATACGTATTCAGCCAAAAGGGTTATGATTATATAGAAATCCCCTTGCATAAAGTAGGCTATGTCCAATTCAAATAGTTATATGTAACTACCTATGTAAGTATAAAGGACCTTTGTAAATATAAAGGTGGATACAATTTGGATGTTTCATCCTAAAACGTGGGATAATCGGTCGATATTTCCAACACTTTTCCGGTTATTTGATGCCATTTTCTCAACAGTAGGCGTTTCAGCTCAATTGTAACTCTTCCTAGCCGAATCGACCGAAGCAGTTTGAAAGCTGTTATGTACTGCAATGGACTGGAAAGTAAGTCATCTGTCCGTTAGTTAATAGTCCAATCCATCAGTCTGGTGGTCCATGGATCCATAAATCCATCAGTCACTCAGTTTATCCATTCATTAGTGCACAAATACTTTGGTCCTCGTCCCGAGTTATATTTTATCTAATCCATCTCAATCATCAATCTATAAACAACTAATCCATTAGAAGACGTTTGGTCATAGATAATTTTATAGGTTTAGTATGCAATTAAATAGAACAATCAACAAACTAATGCACGCATTTAACTGTTCATCATTCCATGTAATCCACCATCCACCCATTAGTCTATTCTATTGGGTTCACAATTCCATCAGTTTCAGTTAGTTCAGTCCAATAGGCTATCGGCCCAGACAATGGATATTGTATGTGCTATCCGTTACATAGTAATCCGATTCGGAATTGAACTTTTGATTTACGAGATGTATTGATCACGAATAAACTATGTATTTTCGCAACCGGTGAGAATTATTGCCAGTAAATGGGAATGACTATCAGAAACATCTGAGGGTTTTGAACTCATTCGTCTCAAACGCGATTTGATTCCCGCACAAATTCCACCTTAGTTGCCATTAAAAAAGCTTAACATTGAGCTGCTATTTTTGCTTGTTTATTATTTTGTGCTGAACACCATTTTGGATACTTCTAACAATAAAGGGATATAGCTAGCAAGATATCCATCTGTCCTCCACGAACACATATCGAGAAAAAGAGTCGCATACACCTGACACCAACCAATAAACTTAGCCTACCGTACTGTATATACTGGACATAGGTTAGGTTAGGCTGAGTATAGAATACATTGTATATATAACACTTTATGAGAGAACCGACAGTAATAAGTTAAATTGACTATTACTTTTCAATTTTTCATAGTAAAGGAGAGTAACAAAGCCTGACATGTGATATAAAGTATTTTATGTTTTATACTGTGTCAGATTTATAATTTGATATTTATGGTGGTACTTGAGGATTTAGTAGGCTAGAGTCATGAAAGTAGTGGAAAGTAAGTAAGTTCTACTCAAGTCACCGATTATGTACGAAGCGTAAACAATTTTACAAAATCTAGTGAAAGTTGTCCTGCGAATAACTTATCCCATTCTAGTTACATCATTAGTGTACAATACGTTGTTACGGACTTTATAGTTTGACTTTACCATAAATTTAATTCATTACTCCATAATACCTTATAAATCTGCCGTTTTGTAGTATCGCTAAATAAGTTAATAGCGAAGCACTTTCTATGGATACAAAAATATACCACATCAAATTTAAAGTAGAGCCTCGCAAATTTTTCAATCTGTGCAAAAAACGAACACGATTATAATCTCGTTTAAGCCCAATGAATAATATTTTTGTTTGCTGCTAAACTATATACAAAAACTGTTACGTACCTTGACGTCCAGACAAAGGAATTGCGGACGTTAAGGTACCTATAATTGATTGCCAATTCCGGAAGGCTTCAACATGAATAAAATATATAACATGGTCTTTATGAGGGCAGTTAACGTGACACTGCAAACCCAAGAAAGCGATGTCGTGTGTGGTTATTAGTAGGTACAGTTTTATTATTGTACAGTACTATATTGGTTCACCTCTTGCTTTCCTTGATACGTTGTATGCACAGGTCTTTTAAATGCATGTGGACTGGCAAATATAAAAAAAAAATGTTTGCGAAGTATTTATTTATTTTAAACTGTAAGTAACCAGTTGATCTTAGTTAGTAACAAAGCGATAATCTCATTTTTCATCCCTTAAACTAAATACCCTCACTCACAAATATTAGACAGAAACGGTATGGATCATACAAATAAACAAATAATGTCACTGGTCCGAAAGTAATAGTATATTTTGTACCTAGGGCCAAAAATGAGGTTTAAAACGATTGAGAGCTGCAAAGCCATTTTGGTCCGTGGTACATTATACCCTATTACCACTTTTCACCACAATAATAATGCACACTAACAGTCAACACTTTGATGGTTATGTGAAGAAATAACTTGAGGAATCAGCAAAAATAATAATAAATAGTTGCTATGCAGCGGTGACAATATAACAAGTCTACTGCAAAGCTGTGGATACTGATTGTGTATTTATGCATTCATGTTTTAGGTAAGTACGCGAACAGCTGATTTTGCGGCCCTAGTGATGTAAAAACCCGCTCGGTCTCCAAGATGACAGCTGGCATGGCCAGCAAAACGTAACTTTCAGCCACCAATTAACGTATGTAAAACAGCTAAAAACATCATTAGTGTGGTGAAAAAA